AAATTTTTTAAAACCTGATCAAAAAAATAAATCGGCCAATTATTTGATTATGAAAAATATTGTTAGTTGCAGCCCTACAGTTAGGATTTCAAAATAAAAGATTAGAAGCTGATTGATTGCCATGTACAACTGCTCCTGGTTTTGACTGCTCCAATTTTGATAAAATTCCCCTAAGAGAATTAGCAAGCCATTTTAAGAAAGGTCAGCAATGGTGGACCCACATTTTCCTCAGCTTAGATTTCTTTCAGTCTTAACTCTTGAGGTGCTTAAGTCGTTAAAAAGTATTTCCTGTGATAACGTCACCATGGTGCAATATTCAGTTGTCTAATATTACATTGAAAATGCAGTATATTTTTATATCAGTTTTACCCTACAACCTATAAACTGACATGCACCTTTATATAACTTCTTGTTATTGCTTATACGTATTTTGCTAACAATAGAAACATTTAAGTACCACTGTACTGTGCGGAGGATTGTGAATAGCAGCTTAAGTGATCAGTGGTGGCAAAGTGTAACCTCATGGCACTCACATGTTGCCTCTCCTTGACATTGGAGGTGCCACTTGTTTCATTCATACTGTAAGTAGTTACAGTCTAGAATGGACAATGACTTTTGAAGGCACAAAAAGAACAAGCTACACTCTTCTTTGTGTTTCTGAACTCCCTAAGTGAATGCGGAAGCTAAAAAAATAAGGTAATGGACCTTTTAGGTTCTATGCGGATAGATGAACTTAATTTTTGATACCGCATTCATTAAAGGTTAATTACCATTAGAAAACACATCAACCATAAAAATTCCCATTAAGAATGAAGTGAAAACGAGAACAGCCGGTATCCATGCAAAGCCATTTTATCATTAGATTTGCTGTTAGCCAATATTGCTCAGCGGAAACAGATATGTCTTAGACTCCTTAGCAGCATGCATTCAACTATTAACGCTAAGAGGATTAATTATTCCACACTGTAATAACCAACAATTAGCTCTTTATTTCTAATAAAGTTTTTGGCTTTCATATTTCTATACATAACTTAATATGGTCTGGATTATAAACAAAACAGTCTAGTGAAAAATGAAATAATTAACATGTCTATAACGAGCTGCAAAAAAAAGATAAAAGAGCAAGACGTCTATTTAAAAACCATAAATAAAAAGACAGTATAAACCAACACAGGCATGAAAAGCTTTAACCAAAAGGTGTCAGTACATACCTCCTACTGTATATTACTAGCCTGTGCAATAGAATGCCCCCTCCAAAAAATCCATAAACTGGATAAGCAAGTACAGAATTTCTTAATGTCAGCACATAGATACAAAACCTCTCACCCTTCACATGTACTAGCCAATACTCCCAATAGAATGTTGAGACCCCATGCCTACAGTAAGCTCCAACACACAATAACATGGTTTTGCTTTAGCTGTTTTGGGGGACGCCACAGAATTGAGAGGGCAGCATCACATCTAGAGAGGGCCATACCTACATAATTTTAATTACAACAATTCACTAAAAAATATATATAATAATAACTGAACGTGCAATCATTTAAAAAGGAGAATTATGAGGCGAGTGAAAATCACTCAGCCTCATAATCTGAGCCGACCTGCAACAATGAAACTGTCACAGGTCGGCTCAGTAGATCGTGAAGTGAGCGAACACATACCGGCGTTTGCTCACTTCTCGATCTATCTGTGCAGAGAGACGTGACTGTCACTCACGGCTCCCTGCAGGGATTCCCCCCCTGCCCTGTCCGATCCTCCAGTGCTGACTGGTGGAATAGACAGGGGAGGGGGCGGGTACAGCTGGCTCTGCCTCTAGATAGGCAGAGCCAGCTGTGACTGAGCTTTGGGTGATGGGAGGACGCTAGTTTGTGTCCTCCTGTTACCCTTAGGAGAATTATGGGGAAAAGCCCTAACCACATAGTTCTCCTTTAACCTTGAGAATTTTATAAAGTAGTCACTGCCTACTTATTAAAGTGGACCTTTACCCCCTTTCACTAAAAATCACATCAGCATGCAGCTCTGCAAATCATCTTACATTTATTAGTTAAAACAAACTTGCTTTCATTTACTTACAAATAGAGTTCATCCACTTCCTGGTCCACTTTGGCACAAATGATGTAATGTGCCAAAGCGTTGCATCCTAGGAAGGTTACATCAGCAGAGCATTGCTGGAAAATCTCATGAGATCTCAGAGAAAGGTATTTTCCTCCCGAGATGATGTGCATTGTCACATGTCCTAGTCACACGTGTCAGAGTTTCGAGAAGTAAAGGGAGAGCTAGTAGCCTGCCCTTAGTTAACATGACCACTGTCAGAAGAATGGGGTAGAAAAGAGAAATAAGGTATGCAAAGAATACAAAGCCAGCAATTATCTAGATGTATCCGTTTGTAGATTGTCATTAGTAAACATTTCTAAAAGGTGTGTTTGTGTTATTTAAAAAATATGGGGAAGGTACCTCTTTAAGTTAAAGTCTGACTACGGGAGATTAAAAAAAAAAAGCTTCTAACGCTATAATTACTCAGCAGCAGCGAACTGACAGTGGCCATCAACACCAAGAGGAGTGAGAAAATCTGCATTGCTGATCAGTTTACCTAAAACACCATAAACTGGATGCTGGTAAGAATCACATTCACGCTGTACACTGAACAATCATACTTTTCAAAGGCAGTGGGTGGTGCCAGTGCAGGTAACCACAGTTCAGGGGTGAGGTGGAGTGCAGAGAACAGTGATGTGGAATAAGCTAAAAGTCAGAAAACATGAATAAGTGATCAGTCAGAAAATGACTGATCACTGTTTACAAATGTGGAGACTCACCTAAACTACTTAAGATTAATTTTGGGGACTGCTAAAGATCAACTCTCCTTTATCAGACAGGATTGCTGAAAAATGTGTGAACCTACAGCTGCATTGGAGAGAAGGATGAGCAAGATTCAGGGCAAAGCCAAACCGGTGAAAGCAGTGTAAACATCCTTCCTGACAAAAAGCATTTGAGAACCGCATGAGATGCAAAAATGTGTGAATAGTCTGCTTGCTGTAGTGCACGGGAAAAGCTCTGATGACAACAACAAAGGGCAACATTCACCAAAGTTAAACAGACTCCAACGCCTAGAACTTTCATATGTCACCAGACAAGAGTATGCACCACTGCAAGTGGAGAATCCCACTTTTTGCAGTTTCCTCAGGAGGCCACCTTTATACACCCTGACTCCTACTTCATAGGGACACTCGCATTTTTCCAGGGCCATTCCATTGCTACAATCAACATAGTGTTCTAGAGTGCCAGGTGCCTGGGTCATGCCCTGACACATATCCTAGTCTGGCTAATTATCATCCTGGTATATATTGTGTAAAAGAGAGGCATCTCACCCAATACAAGGAATACTGGCTATGTAGATCCTGGTGCAAATCTGTTTTCCACTCTACATACTCCTCTTATGCCAGGGAAGATAGTATATTTATCCACCATAGATTTTACTGTGTTTGATTTTTAAACAGACAAAGAGGGTCGCCTAAAGTGTTGTTTATTGCATTTTCTTTCATTAACATTTATTCTTCAAAAAAATGATTATTATTTATATAGATACACACGTGTGTGTATATATATATATATATATAAATATACATACATATACACACACAACTATAACTAACAGTGAAGAAAGAGGATTTTCTCTTTCTACCTTATGTTAACGGACTTTGTCATGGAACCATATATCTAGATACTTTAACAACCTGATCTGTAGCTTAATGAACACACAAGTACAACAACTTTGTTAGCGTAACTCTTCATTCCATTCAATAAGATTTTTTTTAAATAAAGAAAAAATTCTGAAGGTCATGGAGAAGGAGTGTGAGGGTTCAAAAGTCCCAACCACCTTACCACACATGCACACACTTTGACATATTAGCAGGTGGCAGGCCAACATTTGTGAGTGGTCTGACATCATGACAGTGCATGCGCACTAGAGGGCACTGCAGACACAACAAACATGCATGCACAATATAAAAAGCCTGTACATGTTATTAGTGTTGGACACAAAACCACAAATGCATACTAGAGGAAGCCTGCAGACACACTGTCAGCTGCAGACACAAAAATTACACATGTCTCCACACAAGTCAGAGCCAGACACAATAGAAGTGCAGGTTATGGGTGCTGACAATGCTCGGGGTATCAGTCATTTGCATAGAGAATGAAAAGTGTTGCTCGTCTAGTACAGGAAATAGGATCATATCCTGTTAAGCGGCAGGACAATCAGGTAATGTATTTATATACTGTAAGACTATGAAACAGAAGCATCATCTCATTGTGTATATTTTGTCTGAACCTTGCAAAAAAAAAAAAAAGTTCATCATTTTAGCTGGAGATACACTTTGAGTCCTTTATTAAATGCATTTATCCTTTAAAAGCTCTGGGCTTAGATGGGATTTTTCATTAGTCCAAAATTGGTTGATCAGATTTTAAGATTAATTTTTACTTGGACATAGGAGCATCATTATATATTCAAGCTTAACCACTTCAAGACCAGGTGTTTAGACCCCCTTCCTGGCCAGGCCATTTTTCAGTATTCAGCGCTGTGGTACTTTGACTGAAGTTTATTCCGTCATGCAACGCTGTACTGAAATTAATTTTATACCATTTTGTGGGGACAGAAAGAGCTTTATTTTGGTGGTATTTAATCACCACTGGGGTTTTTATTTTTTACTATAATTAGGAAAAATTAAAGAAAATTTTGAAAAAAAAAATTTTTTTTTTTACATTACGTTTGGAAACATTAAATTTACACACACACAAAAAAAAAAAAAGTTAAGGTTCACTTAATCTAGACATAAAAAGCAGTGTTTCATTAAATGCTTGAATAAAAACAAACAAGTAAGCAAAGAAAATGTTCCAATCTTAATGGTACATAAATCAACAGAAGAAGTCAAATGTCCTTAAACCCCAACGTGATTTATCCAGCATAGTCAAAATCTGGACTTAAAATGCAAGTTGGCACTTACCGATCAGTAACTGAAGTTAAACAGAGCATTAGTGTGTTAAAAAACACCATCAGCTCTTTCTGCAGATGCTGCCTCACAGCTGCTTGTGTATCATCCATGTCCTTTTTGGCCGATTGCTCTTTCTGGATGATTAGATCTAGTAGTGGACTTGGGCTCTGAAAAGCAACAGCAAAATTAGAATTTTCATCCTGGTGATCCACTCGCTGATGCATTAATTGAGACTGGCATAGGTCGTCTTTGTATAAGCGGAGGAAAGTAAAGAAGAGCTCCAGATAAACGGATAGATAAGCAGATCAAACACATGTGAATTGTTTTATCTGACAAAGGTATTTGGTTTTTTTTTCAACCACACATCTCGCCCATGCTGCATAGCCACCCAGTATACCACTATTTCAGGTTTGCATACGCCTGCCTCAACTGCCAGCTCAGTAGACAAGGAATCTGCATCATTGCATTGTGAATTCACTGTCCAACAAGCATGCTGGTGACACAGGAAGCTGCAATACTGCAATACTGAAACAGAAAATAGTGGTGTCACATGCCTAACTGTGCAGTGCAACAAGTGCTTGTACATCACAAAAGTGGCTACACATAACAAATCCTTTGCCTAGTACAGTATCTAAAATATATGTATGGGAGTCGAGTTTTTTTTCAGACAAGAGCCTAAGTAAAAAATGTCAATAGTTTATTGCCTGTGTATGCCTTCCTATAAACAGCGTGCAAAAAAAAAAAAAAAGTATAAAACTAGCCAACACATACTATGTAATATCCATAAGCCTTATGGATATTACATAAGCCTTATGAACATTACATAGTGTGTGGTGGCTAGTTTTATTGCATAAGGCATCAAACCTTGGTCCAACAACTACAGACCGTAGGACTGATTTTATTTTTCATTCACGGTGTATGTACTGCTGCAGATCACATTAATAAATTCATTGTAATCTGTACGTTTTTGGTAGTTTTCCAGACCAAGTTCTCTTTTAACCCCAAGAATCAGCAAATAACAAGTCATAATGACAATGAATTACTATAAAGCAAAACAATAGGGCATAAGACAACAAGGAAGCATGCAATTCGGGTTTTTATTTCCTTTTTGTGGAAAACAATATCTGTTATCTAGAAAGGAACAGCTGAATGTTTGCAGCTGCACTATTATAAAGGCACTTACAATGTAGCTATTCATCACTATTTAGATCTACCATCAGTAAAAACATAACAGGGCTGGGAAATAAAATAACAGTTTTCTCACTGGGAAGGTAAACAAGTTAAGGAAAAAAAGTCACGCTGATGAGCAATGTGCCTGTGTCACCATGCCCAAAGTGGGAGCATGTCCTCTATACTGCTCCCAAGTAAATAAATCACATTCTGAACTTAAGCCAACAAGCTCAGAACACGAACTGGGGAATCTCTGATGAAGTCAGAAGCAAAATCCGGGTTGGGATCAGCTACTATCAGAGACAGATTTTTAAATAAAGGTCCAATAAGGTGAGTGGAATTTACTTTTATACTTGCTAAGTTTGCCAACAGTGGGCCAAACCACAAAATAACCCACTTTGTTTTCTACTTTTAAAGCTAAACTCTGGGATCCTAGATAAAAGCATTTTTAGAAGCTTCCATCCTCGGTGATATGCATCTAGAATTAAAAACTTTAAGTGTCAAAAACATTTCTAATTTTAAATAAGCTAGGGAAGGGTTAGAACCTGTGTGGGGGTTCCCTGTACATTTTTCTTCACTTCCTGTCCTGGAGACCAAACAGGAAGTGAGCACAAATATCAAGGGATTAAGAGGGGGCCCTTCAACGGGAGCTCTGTGGGAAAGGCGGGGGGGAGGTTGCAGAGCCCAGAGTACGGCTGCAACACTAGGAGTGGATCTAGCTGGTTAGACAACAATTTATATTGCATTTGAACTGTCCTATTGGCTCTAATATTGTAGTAGCAGATCAGCCCTTTAAAAAGTAGCTATTATTGATTTAAACCTTTTGATACTGAATAGGCTCCAGAAGTATATTGCAGGCAATGAATGGTGGCTACACATACATTTACAATTCCTGGCGCTGGCTTGCCCCCTCTCCCACATTTGTACATGCAGGCAGTGAAGTGTCAGGAAACCATACATTTGCATACTTATTCTGGATCAAAGACTCTAAAGTTAATGAAGCCAGGATTAGCATACAATGACGTAGCATACACCTTGAGAAGCCATTCAGCAATGGCAGCTACCATAGTCATTTTGAAAGCATTCTGTTTTAGCTTCTGATTCCCTGTCCCTCACATTGGCTATGTATGAAAAGAAACTACAAAACAAGCAGTGTTACAACACATAGCAGACTTCAAAAGCTTACCTTGCATTGAAGGCTAATTATAGCGCTTTGGGTCAAGGCATATATTGTATGACAAATTCCCAGAGCACATTGGGCTAGCTAAGAAGACAGCACAGCAGCTGCCGATTGCTTTGTGGTTTAGCTTGATAAAAACCTCAGATAAAGCTGTAATTTGTGTGAAAATGTGATTCATCCGACCAGGCCACCTTTTTCCATTGCTCAGTGGACCAGTTCTGATGCTCAAGTGTCCATTGTAGGTGCTTTTGGTGGTGGACAAGAGTCAGCATGGGTGCCCTGACCGGTCTGCGGCTATGCAGCCCCATATGCAACAAACTGAAATGCACTGTGTGTTCAGACACCTTTCTATTGGAACCAGCATTAACTTTTTCAGCAATTTGAGCTACAATAGCTCTTCTATTGGATTGGACTACACAGGCCAGCCAACGCTGGCTACATGCATCAATGACCCCTCAGCCAGTTTACTAATTTTCCTTCATTGGTCCTGACCATTGCAGACCAGGAACATCCCACAAGAGCTGCAGTTCTGGAGTTGCTCTGACCCAGTCTCCCAGCCATCACAATTTGACCCTTTTCAATGTTGCTCAAATCCTTATGCTGGCCCATTTTTCTGCTTCCAACAGCATTGATAACTTCAGGGACAAAACGTTCACTTGCTGCCTAACATATCCCACCCACTTCCAGGTGCCATTGTAATGAGTTAATGATGTTATTCACTTCACCTCTCAGTGGTCGTTCTCTCTCTCTCTCTCTCTCTCTCTCTCTCTCTCTCATATCTCTATCTCTATATACCAACACACATGCATATAGAACAGAATAGCAGAATAAGAAGACAGCTATAGCTGTGTGTCTAAGGCACATATTTCCCTGTACTGCATTAGCACATAAATGCAATGTAGGAAAGAACCATTACAAATACTCAGGATGAATAGTTCATTGTGCCAGCAACCAAATAATGTTCCCTGATTATCATACAATGTCACTACTGCTGCTGTGTTTGCTTTTTTTATTGAGACCCGAAGCATTGCAAGAGACAGATTCAGTGCTCCCACCAGAATTGCTTTGGCAGATGAACAAAATAAATGTATACCCTTTACAGCTAAATTATCTTTATTGGCCATGGATGTTAATGCTGCATCATCTGTCAGAAGTGGCAATTGCAACACTCTAAGGTACTATTCTTACTTGTTTAAGTAGCATCTCCAGTATCCATTGGAGATCTTGTGAATCTGAGCTTCTACTTTGTTCTCTTAGGATCTTGTTTAGGAAACTTATCACATCTGCCAGGAGCTTTTCATCTTCGGCACATGCTGGTTGAACCAGCAAAAACCTACACAGGAGAAAGAACAAACATTAACCTTTCTAGTGCTGGGGGCAACACAAGCAGCAGCAGTTCCTCTATCTAGCAGCTTTAGAGCATTTAACAAAAAGGAATGTAAGTGACAGTAAACTACAGTATATGCTTAATATATTAACACACGTATATAGTGATATTTCACACTTCATTTAAAGTCAACCTCAAGACATTTTTTTTTCATCCTTAGAAATCCTTCCTCTAATTAACGTGCCCTATTCTTTACATTACTACTTTATTGTAAAACAATGGCAACAATTCTGCCACTTCTGGGGTGCTAGAGGAGGATCCCTCCTATTGACTAAGGGGGCTATTCACAAAAGGGTGAAGCGTTTGGAGAAGGCAGGAGAAGTGAACAATCTAGGACAACATAGCAGATGTGGAAAACATCACTTCTCCTGCCTTCTCCAAACCCTTCACCCTTTTGTGAATAACAATGTAAGTGTTTGTGTTACCTACATCATTCTACAAAATTGAGCCTCTGCAGCAATCCCTCCTCCTAGTCTTCATCTTATGAAATGAGGAGGAGGATAGCCAAATCATGTGACTTGGTTAAAGACACCTTAAAGTACCTCTGGATTTATTTATTTTTTTGGAGGGTTTTAATGCATGTATAAGGGGGCTTCTACCAAACAATGTCTTTATTCTTGTGTTTTAATTTTGTCTTTAAAAGGAGAACTATGAGATGAGTGATTTCCACTCACCTCATAGTTCTAGCCGACCTGTGACAATGAGACTGTCACCGGTCATGTACCGGGAGGACGCTAATTTGTGTCCTCCCGTTACACTAAGGAGAACTATGGGGGAAAACACTGACCCCATAGTTCACCTTTAATGACGATCCAAAATTAGCACATAACATATTATTAACAGTAATGTAAGCAATGTAATAGGGCTACTAAAGATACATTTCAAATGCTTGATGTAGGCTGTAGCTATCCTACAGTGCTCTGAGAATCCTTCCATCCTCATTATATATATAATATATATACACTGAGTGGCCAGATAATTATGACCATCTGACGTTTGTAGGCAAATTAGCTATAATTAGCTATAATAGAGATAGAGATATATTGAGATAGAGATAGAGATAGAGAGAGAAAGCAAAAGTGACCGAAAAGCCCTTTATCAGGCCCAGCTACAAAAGTATAGTTAAAGTGTATGGGTTATTAATGCCATTCCATCACTTTAAAAATAAATGTTGTTTGCTACCAGCTATAAACTACTAGAACATACCTGCAGCAACCCACAGCTTGCCTCCCTCTGCCCCAGCTACAACTACTTCCCACACCATTCTGATCTAACTTAACAAAATCTGCCATTCTGCTCCCACACATTCCTAATGGGTTATGAAGCATCCTATCATACTGATGGGAGAATGCGGGAGGTGGGATGGAGTGAATACGCTTTGATGCTACCAGGAATTTTTAGATTAATGCACAATCAAAAGAGCTTATGATTCAGGTGCAGCAGCAGGCAGTTGAAGGATACTGTAGGTATGTGGAGCACCAGCCTTTTCTTGGGTGGTTGTTTTACATGACAAGGTCACTTTAAGCCGGTCTACGTGCATTTTGTCATGTGCTACATTTAAAACATGCTGGAGTGCATTTTTGAATGTGTCCTTCTAGGAGAGGAAACAATAGGATAATTCCTGCCTGTATGCACAGCTGCCTATTGCACTGTACATGTGTTTTCCATGTGCAACTATTCATGCGTAAGGTGTACAAGAAAACAGTTGTACACTTATCACTATTTACTTTAGATTCAATTTAAAGATGGTTATACAATGTTCTGTTTTTGTGTTCAACCCGCGGGCTGAACGTAAAAAATAGAACAGATTCCTCCATCAACGCCACGACGAGGAATCCCTGCTGTTTCTTTAGTATTTTGACAGTGGCTGCGGGCCGCTGTCAAAATACCCAGACAGAGCCAGCTGCTAGCTCTGTTAGTTCAAAGCTGTTCCGATTAACTCCTTCGATCAGCTGATCAAAGGATGGCAGCCAAAAAGGGTGACTACATCGGCACCCAATATGTGAAATTTGCATAATGTATGGCCAGCTTTACATGTGTGAAAACATGCTGAAATACAATGCACACACATAAATGGGCACTCCAATATAAGCAAATATTGTCATAATACAAGAGCTGTGTGTGTTCATACCTACAGTAAATCCTGGTGTGCTTTGTACATTTTGTCTGGATCGGTGCAGTAATCCAATGTGAAACCTCACCTCTGTGCAGGAGCTTCCTGTAAAAAAGACCAGTTGCTGCTGCTCTATCCCCTTGTGCAGAGTGACTGGTCTTGTATATCTCCCTCCTGTATTTCCTGCAGACAGCCTGTAGTGAACGGGGCCTGCCGGGCCCCTCCCACTGCTCTGCTCTCTGCACCGGCTATGTACAGCACTGTGATAATTTACAAGGTGATATCTGGGTTTGTAAAGGCATATTGTGTACACAAAAGGGAATTTATATCCTTTGTGACTATTGAAAAATATATTTAGATGAAGGTTGTTGTGCCCAGAGTTCAGCTTTAACACTCCCATTTACAGCTTTTTTAGATTAGATTTTCTCTTTCTTGCATTTTCCTAATAGTTTAACCAATAAAAGATTCTAATACCGAGTAAGTCAAGGACAAAGCAGCCAACATCATTTTATCATACTACAGCCTACAGATACAATCTAGGATTAATAACATTGCTGCCCAACCAAATATATTTGGGAAACATAATTCAGAAAGTTAACATTTTAATAAGTGAAAACAGAAAATGAACAGAAAATTGCCATCAACTGGAAAAACATAATACATAACAGTCACCTGAGGTTTGCATTCATTTGGGTTGATAACATATTTCACCTTGCTGTAAAATAATTGACTGCACAAATTAGGTGAGCAAAAGTAGCTTGCTTTACTCCAAAAAAATAAGCAATCTTAATGATGCCTGAATCTCAAATTAAATACTTGAGAAGCTCAAATCCTTTTTGCCGCTGTATTCATCATGCACACGTATGAATATTTTACTTGTATCGCAGAGATTAGTATCTGTGCACGGCTTCTCACCTGCTCAGTGCAGTATGCCAAGGCAAACACTTCAAGGCGGACATGTTATAGTCAGTGAGGCAGTTTAGAACCAATCTGTCATTTAGGAGATAAAAATTCATCCTAGCAACAGCAGAACGCACTTCCCCATGAGACACAGCCTGAACGATATAACTCAGGCAATCTTGCAGTCCAGTGGCTGAGTGTGTCATCTTCAATGTTAGAACTTCTTCTGAGGATAACTTTAATGTCTCTAAAAAACTTGAGAGGGAAAAACAGAGTCTCAATCTGAAAATGGAATGCACTCGCACGCAGAAACTACAATATAGCCTTAGCAAACATTTGTAGCTGGTTGTAATACTAATGTGTAAAGGCAAACTCAAGGGAAGGGAATATCATTCTGAAAAGCACGGCCTGCAGAATTCTGTGACCTGTCCGTCATATAGCTGGCCATGCACCAGTAGAATTTCGTGGGAAAAAGTTTGTTTTCATTCGGAACGTTTATTCGAGTGCCTAATAAAAATCGATGATCAAAGTGATGGAAAATTTAAAAAAAAAGAATGATGACTTTTTTTGCTCGAACAAATGAAATTCTAACACTCAATGTGGCATTCATTTGGGAAACTTCATTGATTTTATGTTAAAGCAGAACTTTACCCCTGTTCATTAAAAATCACAACAGCGTGCAGTTCTGCGTGCTGATATGAAATCACCTTACATTCTTTTGTTAAACATTTTTTTGCTTTAACTTACAATTACTGTTTTTCCACTTCCTGGTTGGGTGAGACACAGGTGATGTAGCCCTGACCTCACATATGCATCTTGGGAAGCCTACATCACCAGTACCATCCAAGTAAATCTCATCTGTGAACTGCAAACAGACTCCCGGTGACTTTTGTCGCCGGGACTCTGTTTAAACTTGTAGAGCCGACTGTCGGCTTTACAACAGAAGCGATATTTGCCGTTTTACAGACGCACGCAATTTGTAACCTGGGCATGTTGGGTATCGTTTTACTCGTTGTAACCTCATCTTTTATATTTCATTAAAAAAATGGGTATTTTGTTGTGTTTTGGGGCATTTAATTAAATTTTTCACTAAATATTGGGGTTTAATAAGGAGTTGCGCTAATATTGCGCAACATAAAAATGTGCAACTACCACCATTTTATTCTATAGGGTCTTGGCATTCAGAAAATATATAATGTTGGGGGGTTTTAAGTAATTTTCAGGCCTAAAATGTGGAATATAACATGGGTACAAACAAAAGGCCTCAGTCATGAAGGGGTTAAGGTATCGCCGTTTCTAAACAGAAGAAGGCCTGCAAGCATTTGTTTTAATATGTTTTATCTATACAAGTGATTTCCATTACTTTTTAGGGCTGCACCTGCTCAATTCTGTTATTCAGCCTGGGATCCTGTAGAATAGTACGCTGTGCATGTTTATTTTTCTACTTTTTTTTATTGATAAGATAAAACAGTACCAGCAGACATACAAATATAGTGTGCAGAAGGACACTGTAACACATATGAAAACTCTAACCAACTCTATGTAAGGAATAACAACTTACTGCACCGTTTCATGCTGGTTCTTGTCTATACTTGACAAGAGGTTATCAATCCCTTGGTACCAAGACAAATTCCAAGCCATCCGAAGCATGTCTGCTACTGACTTTGTTGTTAGCCATTCAGAGGATAAAGGAGAAGACATAGTATATGGGCTTACTGCATGATGAGTGCTTGCACTGACAGGAAGGTTAAATCTGAAATATAGGTAATTATGTAATACAATTCCAGGGAGATGAAACACAAACTGCATGACCTTAATATAAATATCTGTTAGTTATGTCGTAAGTTGACATGCAATTGTCATCGGTATGTTTGGGTAAATTACAAAAGAATTGTTGCTAGCCTTGTCTCTTGACAGAATCGCAGCAATATATTTGACCAGGACATTATGACACTTACAGTGACACTAAACTCGGGCATTAAATCTTAAAAATGCATTTGAGTACCTTAACTATTAAGAAAATAGCTGTAGATCCTCAAATCATCTCTGAATTGGTGCGGACACTGTCCTTCCTTCTGGAGGGTGGCTACTTTTCTCCAAGCTCGCTCCTGTGACGGATTACAATCTCAAGACAAATTAGTAAACTAACCATGAGATTGTAGTCTATCACGGGAGTGCGCTTGGAGTGATGGCTACTTTACAACAAACACAGATACCATCGGGAACAAAAGTAGCCACCCTCCAGAAGGAAGGACAGTGTCAGCACCAATTCAGAGATGATTTGATGATCTACAGCAGAGTGATACACAAATCAGATACATTTATTGTTAATAGTTAAGGTACTTGCATGCATTTTTAAGAATAAACTCCTGAGTACAGTGTCACTTTAAGAGCAAATGTGTAGTGTCTTAACCCCAACTACCAATATTTGTGTTTTCCTCATTTGATTCTACAGAGAACACTTGATCACACAATGTGGTCATATTAGCTCCACATATGCGATACAGACCAATTGCCACTGTGACCATAGACTTCAAAGCCAATATTAGTAGGATATTTTTACTACCCAAAAGGTAACTATCATATTTTTTTGCTAATGCAAATACAGAATGAAAGTGCAATTGTCACCATTTCTGTAAATGTGGATGGAGTAGAGGTGGGTTAGAACCTCTCTCAATTTTTTATTGCTGTATCATCATTGAGAGGATGTATTGTCCCTTCCCTCTCCGGTGACAGGATGTAAGATAGAATAGAAGAGAATCCTCCAAAAGGGAAAATGACAGCAATATAATCCTGAAAGGGGCCCTAACCTTTGACACACTACTGAAAAAGGGGTTTTGTTGCTATATATGTCTCCACTGGAGAAATCTCCTGTCTTTGTGACCATCATTACTATAACAGGAAATGAGCTAACATTTTGTGAATGGAGAGACACAAAACATTCAAAATAGCAAAGGTTCTAACCCTTCCCATCAAAAAAATGGAAACATTTTTGTCTGTAGTTACATTTAAAAGCAGGATCCAATTATGTGTTTAGCCAAACATCTAATGTGCAGTTCCAGCATTTCACAAAGCTGGCATACTCACATACTGTAGACAATAGGGGCCGTGGAGGAAGGTGTTTAGGTTAATTTTACAAAAGGGAGAGAATTTCTTTAAAAAGGACCTGACCATGATTCTAAATAATGGTGTAAACACCCTCTAGTATATACTGTGGAATACATGTGTCATGGTGGATGAAAAGACTTGCAAACATAGTGGTAGAACAGTGGACATATATGCATATAAACTAGGGATGTTCAGATACCAGTGCCGATACTGGGCATTTTCACGAGAAGTACTCGGGTTGCAGCTGGGACCTGGCTCAGACGTTCCACCACTATTCTGAAATCATTAGTCTGCATTGTGTTAGAAAAACTGTCACATGACAATAAACAAAAATGTATCAGTACTTGTAGCAGCTTGGTGTGAACCAATCAACTGTGGGAGCAAAAATTTGAAAATGGAAGACATACAAGACCACTGATCCCTCGATCACTTGATCCCTCGATCTGGGGCTCCACCCAAGATGTCACCCTGTGGGGTCAAAATGATCACAAGAACGGTGAGCAAAAATCCCAGGGCCACACGGGGGGACCTAGTGAATGACCTGCAGAGAACTGGGACCAACGTAACAAAGGCTACCATCAGTAACACACTATGGGGTCTAAACCCCTGATATTTCCCTTTTAAAATTTAAAATAGAAAAAGAGATTGAGAACAGAGAGCCCTCAATCTCTTTTTCTGTGTCCCCTGTTATCAATGAACAGGAATCCTCTATGAGTGTTCCTGTTTATTGATAACTTGAGAATATAGTTTGTTTACTATAACCACAATTATGAATGAACAGGAGTTGATATAGATCACTTCCCATTCATTCATAATTGAGGATATATTAACCATACCCTCAATTATCTACAAACACTCAGCGATCACTGATCGCTGAGTGTATGTAGCCTGCTCTCCTCTCTGACACGCTGTCACAGGAGGCTGAGTGAGCGGTGTAGAGAGGAAAGCCCAGCCTACTGTGACAGCGCAGTCTCCGCCCCCACACCGCTCTGCCGCACTGTGATAGGCGGCCGAGCGGTGTGGGAGGAGAGACACCGGCCGCTCACATCACTCTTGTGGCGGCTATCACTTTCTCTCCTCCCTGCTGGGACACAGAGCAGCGCCCAGCGGGGAGGAAAGAAATCACGGATGCGCCAATGTATCGCCAAAACGAAATCATACATTAAAACAGGGACGCTCAAATTCCAGGAGCTCTGTATGCTCCTTAAGAATGGCAGCTGCTTCCTAGCTTTTTAATTTTTCTATAGTCCAGTCATGGAGCTGGAAAGGTATCAGTACATGTACTAAGAACGGTATTCGGTATCTGAACATCCCTAATTTCACTTTTTTATTTAAATTACAGCAGAAAGTATCTGTTAAAATATATATATATATATATATTTACCTTCTAGATACAGCTACAGGCAAGCTAAACGGAGGTGTGCTACTGGATTTACTGTGTGACCTGTACGTGACAAAAAATGTAAATAGCCCATAAACAAAGTAAACATTTAGTTTGCATAAAAAGTATCTTAAAAAAATGGGAAAATATTACGGGGGGACCTGACAGCAGGAGCATGTAACGGAGCCGCTGACTTTAGCTATGCCAGTAAATATGTCTCAGTAGAGCTGAGTCTGGGCACAGAGAAGCGGATGCAACATCTCTAGCGGCAGCCTTAACTCATGGAAAGCTAAATGAACGGCCAAAAAAATCCAGCTTGGCCAGTCACTATTTCCACTGTATGTCTGTGGCCATCCCCATCATTGTACCATGCAAAGTATAGCACATAAGGAAACCCTTAAAAGCCTTTACAGCAACATGGAAACCAACCTTTTTTTTCTTCTTTTTTTGGGCAGAAATGACATGCTTAAAAGAGGGCAGCCATAAAATGTACCAGTTTTTTCTTTAATTCTTTTGCATGGGTCAACGTTGTAGTATCACAGGGACCCCACAACAACACATCTTTTTTTATTTCACAGAAAAATGCATTTACGTAGCTGGTTAGGGGGCAAATAATTCTTACTAATATTGTTTAAAGGGAACCTGTCAGGATACAAATATGATTTTTGTACTCGCCATAAAATCCTTTTCTCTGGGAAGTGATTAACTGTCAGGAAGAGGTGGGCAACACAGCTAACAGGCCAAAAAATACAACAGAAAACTGGGGACTGCATGTAGCTCAAAGACCCATCTGCAGGACCTTACGTCTGTAGCTGTCAACAGAAAAGGGGCCTAAAACATCCACATGGTAGAACTTGGAAAATGTGTGAACAGAAGACCATGTGCAAGCCTTGCAAATGTGGAAAACAGTTGCTTAATGCAACACAAAAAGCACTCACAGATCTAGTAGACCTTGACAGGAAAGGGTGGATGATAGTTTGCATGGTGGAATGAGAAGCTGGTTCACCTTCACGGGGACCATATGTAATGACTACAAATGTATCAGTATTTCTAAAGGAAGCCGTGGATGAAAGATAGACAATGGAGGGAAATAGTGAACTGGAGCTGGACAGTGGAATTTAGGAAAAATGTCCTTGCTGAGGTGAAAGGCAAAAATGACCTTATGCAAAAAGAAAGTCCTGTGCCTCAACGCCACCTTTTCCCCATGCAAAACCAGAAAAGTTTTTTTGCAGTGTAAGACCACCAGTGGGGTCTGCGTACAACACTTTAAAACTAGGCTGAGGAAAAGCCAATCTGGATAGCTGCCATCTAGACACCAGCTCAAACAGAGATATAGTGAGAAATCTTGATTGAAAAAACATTGAAGGAAAAAAGCTATCACAACAGTTAGACTATTCTCAGGACAGCTGAAGAAATTACATCCATCCTCCTAGGACACTAGCAAGAAAACTGAGGCATGGTAGGAGGGGTTATCCCGGGCTGGCCACAATTGTTTTGTTTGCCGGTTTAGCCCAACGGTTATGACTTCTTATGTCCCTGAACAGAAGATAAAGAAATGGTACTTGCCATCATCATCTTGAAGGTGTAGGCTGTTATCTGTATCACACTATCAATTACCTGGAAATAGCATGCAGCCAGAAATGTGTCCAGAAATATTATTGCCATTTAATAGCAATGGAAGCATCTCCTATACGTTTCTCCAGACAAAATCCCTCTGGAGACAAAACGTCATTTGAAATGAACATTTTAGTTGCGTGGGGTGTGGTTAGAGGGATTCTAATGCCAAGGAATTCTGCACCATTGCCCTTGCCTCAAGGTCATAAAAAATAAGCCACTCTCTCACAGATGGAGTGACTTATACATCATTTATAAAAAACAAGAATGAAAATGAGACTGTTCCCTAACAAAAATTAGTCAAGTACTCCTTTAAATGGAATAAAATAGTGTGCTGTTTCTTGGTAACAGACACCACTATTTTGCTAGAATAGTAGTGTAGACAGACAATTTAAAACTGGATATAGATCTTGCATGTAATACTGGTAATAAAACCAAATGTGTTAACTGAAAGCTCTACTGAAATGCATATTAACAAAATAATATAAGTCATTCTTACCACGCGTCTGTTCTCGAAATGTCATCAAAAAGAAGTAGACATAGTACCACTGCGGCTTCATTTAGAGCTGAACAATCATTCTGCAAAAGCAGAGACACTGGAAAAAAAAAAAAGTATTGACAACGATGTTTCCCAGGTAGGACTACTGTGATTAAGGGGTGCATTTAATACATATCTATTTTATTATAAAGTAAACCATATTTGTGTATATTTTGTGAAATTGAAATATATGACCACAAAAGCTCATGCCAAAAGAGAAAAATAACTCAACTTTAATATTTATTTTACCTTAAAGAACTCAAGGATTCTAAAATGTTAAAACTTGCAATGGGGCTACCCCTACATTGCAAGGGTTAACTCATATATACTCATCCAATCCTCGAGCAGCAGTAACCGCTTACCTCTCTCCTCCCACACCTTGGCTAGGGTATGTCCCTCAACATCTTCATGTCTCATAGACCTGTTAGACATGATAATGTCATGGGGTCTTAGACCGACGGAGACCAGGGGGAGAAGAGGCTGCAGGGACCAGCAGTATAGCAGCCAGATGATATCAGGTAAGTATATTTTCTTTATTTGTGACCCTAGACCAAAAAGGGCAGTTAACCCTTGCAGTGGAGCGGTAGCTCCACTGCAAGGGTTAATGTTTGAAAATCCTGGTCTTCCCCTTTAACCCCTTCATGACTGAGCTAGTTTTCAGGTTCTGTTCATAAATGACTGACACACTTTTTACATTTTTGCTGTGTGATTCTTCCACGGCAGTAATATACTTGCTTACTAAATGTACCCAAACATATTATATATAGTTTTTTAGATTTGCTATTTGAGCCCCATGCAAACAAATTGGGGTCAGAGCTCTCCCAACTACAAGTTCAGACTCAATGACATGATGTTTGGAATTGCCATGTAGTTAAAACAAGCTCCAGTTCTTGAATTCACCCTGCTTGAAGCATCTTTAAACCCCAAAGCCAAAATGTAATATTTTGCTACATACCAATCAATAAATGTGGTGGTTGCATTCCTTTTCTTTTTATACCTCTTTTTTGACCTGGTGATCTGGCCAGTAAGTTTTACTTTAACAGACCAAGCTGTCCAGCAAATGTGGCAGGAGTGATCTTAAAGCGGTGGCTACTTTACAAAACACACACAGGAACCATGGGGGACAAAAGTAGCCACCCACCAGAAGGAAGGTGTCAGCACGAATTCAGAAATTATTAGAGGATCTACAGCTGAGTAATACACAAATAAGATACATTTTTGTTAATAGTTATGATACTTGAATGTATTTTTAAGATGTAACTCCAAGTTTAGTGTCACATTAACAGTAACGGAGGTGTTTACAATGGTTAAAAAAATATTATTTACGCACCGCACTGGGTGTGTAAACTATCGCTAATTACTTGTACGTAATGTGAGAAAGGGCCGCTGTATAGTATAACCTTTCAGCACGCTGCCTCCTACACAACTCTGGGCTTCTGGGCGCTGTGGGGAGTGAAGAATCCCTCCTTCCCCCCTCTTCACTACATGCCCTTTCACAAAATGCCTTGTATTTTTCTCAAAGAATACAAGGCATTCCGTGATTGGAGAAGCAGCGAAGGAGACAAGGATTTGACATCAGCTCCTCCTCCATGCATGTTGCAAGATACATTTTGATACTTTGCAGCAGCCCTCCACACATTGTAAATGATAATTTATATACTTAGTGCAGTGTGTAAAAAATCATTTTTCCCACAGTTTGGTCTTTAAGTCTTGCTCTTATTTATTTATGTAAAACGTATTGCTGTAATTGCCTAAAAAGTGCTGGCCGGAGTTTAGATTTCATTTGTTAGTCAAGTTACTGGCTGGATCACCAGGTGAAAGTTAGGGAACACCGTCTGAAAAAAGGGCCTGATGCAGCCATCACACTTAAAGATTGCTAAAGGTTTGGGTTTAGATACACCTTGTGTGATTATAGTGTTAATTATGCCTCAGACTCCAATGCTTGACTTCCCTCAGTGGCTCAGCTAAATACGGAAAACTGAAAACACATCATTCTAGTGTAAGTATGTTCCATTAGACTTTGGTCTTCTTACCATTTGTATAACTGGTCTTTGTCTTTTTAATTTGTATCCTGCCAGTGTGATGAAACGCAACTAGGTAAGCATACGTCCCCAAAATATGCAATAGAGGGGAAAGGGATATTGAAGGGAACCTCGTTGCAGCAAATTAACCATGTGAGAAAGCTTTGGTAGAAGATGTAATTCTTTGTACTGCTGGATACTTATTTCAGGACAGTGAGACTGATTCTATCTACTATCATCCAGAATAATTATGAAGTCGGAAGTAGGGTAATGACTGCTTTAACCAGAGTCATATCTTCCAAAGTGTTTTGCTTTGTGACAGAATCCTTTTACAGGGAACTAGAAGTTGGAAGCTTTTCACACAGGCATTTTACTTCAAGTCAGAAGAGACTCTCTGACGCCAGTGCTGCATACTAGTTCTCAGTCACCTATGTTACACCTATAGTGAAGCAGCTTAGGTTCAACTTCACTACTCTGGAATAAGTATGCAGCAGGGGATGAGAATGACTGCTTCCAGGAGAAGCTATTTTATTTCATGACAGTCTGAATTAAAAAAACAAAAACATGTCCCCTGTTCTATTCTTTAAAAAATAATTAGAGATTCAAGATTAAGACTCATCACACAGACTTTACAGATCTAATAGTATGCACTATGGAGCAGAACTGCAATAGAAACATCCTACCTCTGAACAAAGTAAGGAGGAAATCTGGCTCCTGTGCCAGTGTAAGGCGCACTACAGGATCAGCATACACCAACTTTCGTAGGAGTGTTAAGCATGGGCAAACCATACACTCAAAAGCCTGTAGATTAAAATAGGAACTTACTTTACTGCTTGACTGAGAAAATGACTGTAAGACTTACATATACATAAAAAAAAGGTTTGTTAAACTTTGACCTTCACATATGAAAGTTAGCCTAAAAGAAAAATGTACTCATTGATCAAACCAATGCATTAGTTTTAAACTGCAAACATTCAAGCAGAAGTTAAAAATGAAACAATTCAAATTTGTGTCCTTTAGGGTAATTCAGAGAATTTCATGTGACATATTTGATACAGGACAGTCTATGTATGCAACTTAAGTAAAGCCTCACAGCAATGTTCTCTGCTATTCCATTTATTATGTAGAAATTAAATAAACTTGCCAGCCTAAAAAAAATTAAAAAAAGAAGAAGACCCTGAATGCTGCTGCTGCTACTACTAATAATAACAGTAATCATAATATTAATAACAACAATAATTATGTTAAAGGGACAACATTTTTTAATAATTTATGCTAAAGTCAGTGTGAATGATATTTAATGAAGCACAATGTATCAAAATGTTGTTATTTTCTTAAAAATAAAATACTTGTGTTTACCATTTTCCTTCTTTGCTGCATCTCAGTGCTGCAGATATCCTACTGCCACTTCCTATCTACATGCATACATTCCAGCTTGGCTACATACTATTTCTCCGGGCAGGGTTTCTGATGGTGACAACAGGAATATGCCTGCATTTGTATGTTGAAATGGCCACTTATAGTCTTCATCAGAGCCCAAGTGACCATGCAGGAGCACAATGGAGAGACAAGGACAGACCATTTTACCCCTTAACAGTAACTGTTAACACCAGGACCAATGCCCTGGTTTGAGTGAAAGGCAGAAACTACCTTAGACAAGAAGGAAGTCCTAAGCCTCAACACCACTTTGCCCCTATGCAAAATCAGAAAGGGTTCTTTGCAGGATAAGGCAGCCTGAAACACATCCAGACAATTAAGGGGAACCCTTAGCCTCAACACTACTTTATTTCTATGCAAGCTCAGAAAGTTGTTTGCAGGATTGGGCTGCTACTTTAGACACTCGTCCCACAGAGGTGACATCTACAAGAAAAGCCACCTTGTGGGTGAGAGTAGAGAAATAAATTGGTTCAAACAACAGTTAACCAGATTCAGGTCCTACAGAGCCAATGGGGAAAGGAATGGATTAAGACTGTACAGTAGTCTTAATCAAGAAGTGGTCCCTAAAACAGGGCAGGAAGGGTGGAAGCCTGACCCATGAGAGTACTGAGTGCTGGGAAACAAACGCTAGTCCAGATCCAGAACTACGAGAGAGGATTTGTTCCATGGAAGAACTCATGGGGTTAAAGCCCAGAGACCAACACCAAAGGAAATATGCCTTCTATGTCCGATGGTAGACCCTGCAAGAAGACGACTTCCTAGCTTTTATCATTATAGGAATCAAAAATTCAGAGATGCCCCTGTCCCTCAGAACCAGGCCTTCAACAGCTATGTTCTGAAAGCCAGCGACCGTGAAGCAGGGTGGCAATTGAGTCCTTTAAACAGGAGATTCTGGCGTAACACACCATCTGTTGTGTATGTCACCACCGTGCCGACTGAATCCGAACTGGATGATCCTTCAGCAGGATGATCTAAAACTGCAGAGACAGCTAAATTGTCTGAAGCTCCAGGATGTTGATTGGCAGACAAGACTTGCCCGATGACCAAGTCTCCTGCACCCACAGGGCTGCTCCCCTGCCAAATAGGCTAGCATCTGCCATGTGGATCCTCCAAAAGACTGGAAGGAAGGACTTCCCAGACTCCAGAGCTGGATTTCTAAGCCAAAGAAAACCTGATCCCTTGTGACACACAAATTGATCTGTTGAGAAATGTTGCAATGCAGAGGTCTGTAGTGAAACTGAGTTTTAAAAGCCAGAATGGGGTGAATTTCCCCTCGGTTATGGGAACAGTGAACAGATTGGAGTAAATCCCCCCGGAACCATACTGTCACAAGAACTGGGACAATTCACCTTGATTCAGAAGACCCAAGAGAGCTCAATGGAGATTTGCTAATCTGCGCATTGACACAGGAAGTTGAGGAGAAACCGAGGAGAGGCCTGAGAGCGAAACTCCAATTTGTAGCACTGGAACACCACCTCCTACACCCAAGCATCAGGGATGCAACCAGTCCATATATCTGAAAAAGTTAACAAATCTCCCTCCCTTTTCAAAGCATTCTCGATGCTCCTTCATGCAAAGCAAGACTTGTCTGAGGATTGACAGACTCTGATTATCAGGTATTAAAGGTGGACAGGGAGCCAGGCTTGGGGGTTTCAATGAGGAGGTAAAGATAAAGTAGAAAAAAAAAGGAGTGTTTCTTAACAGCTAGAGAGGGGGAAAAAAAAAAAAAACTTTGCAGTCTATTCCTTAGGCTTCTTCTGCTGAAGAAGATGGGTACCCTTGCCACCAGTAGCATTCTTGAAGATGTGGTCAAGAGCTGGTTCAAAGAATTGCTGTTCCTTGAAGGCCATGCGGATCAAATGCTTTTTACACAAGGGGTCCTGTGGTCTTGTACTTCACCCAAAGTGCCCTATGCACATGTACTGACAAAAGAGGCATGCCAGCATTTCCATGGCTCTTCATCATAGTAGCAAACAACGAACGTTTCGGGGTCGCACGGGATCCCCTTCATCAGGCAAAGCATACGTTGTTTGCTAATATGATGCACGTCAATAAATAGACGTTTTTTTGCAAATCTGGAGTGCCGGTGTCCACAGCCCTGAATCTGCAAAGCGCTTGACAGCTAACTTTTACCACACGGGGACCCAGTGCCCGAAGGTCACGTCCAGGCTATTTCAGCAATGTCTAGTCCAGCAGAGGCCAGACACGGTACTCCAAAAGCCAGGTAAAGGATGGTCACACCAGATAGTTCTAATTAGAGAGACAGTTCCAGCAGTGATGTAGAGAACAGTCTTGACTGGAAAAAATAGTTTAGAGTAAAAAAGTGATAGCAAAAAATGGTAGTTTTTAAAACAGCAGAGGTGAAAAGGACATAAAGAAAAGACATCCATCCTCCTAGGACAATAACAAAAAAAACGAAGCATGCGGGAAGTAAGAGGGGTTATGCTGGGCTGGCCTACAGCCTCCTGTAGGCAGCAGTGTGCCTCAATGGATAAGAAAGAAAGATGTTTTACATATGGATACACTTTAAATCAGATTTAAAATGATGTGCTGTCTTTGTCCTCAACAAATATGCACCAGTGATGATGACTTGTAATGAAATAGACCTTGTACAATAATTGTACTAACCTGTCCATCCTGGTGCACACATTTCTGCAGTACATTACGTATAGTCTCCACAACCTTCAGCTCTTTAACCACACTGTGCATTGTAGTAGCTGTAGATAAAAGTAAGAAATTGTAAGCAAATAATATTCAGAAACCAACCTATTCTAAGGCAATTCATACGAGTTAAAATGGTGGTACAGGACTATAAATAAGGTACAGTGTGAGACTTGAACTAATATAAATAACTGCATTTACTACACCCATATTAATAATTTATGATTCATCAAATAAAATTGATGATCAATAATGTATCACAAGCAGGATCTTCACATTCAAATCTATCACACAATTCATACATGTGGTATGAATTGATACATCTTGTATATTTGTTATCATTCTGTTTCATAATGCAAAAGGCTAAATAGTGTTCATTGCAATTGCTCAATAGTAAACCAAGACTGTAGGAAACGTACAGTATCCAAAAGAGAAAAAAAATATATAGATATTTTATATGATAATAAAAAGTAATTAACCCCATCAATCAACGCATTATATATTAGTACAAAATATCAGACATGATCTAGTTTGATAAACATTAATAAATAGTGCTAGGCCCAGGTAATAATAATTGTTTATGTAAAACTATTTAATAATGTCCAGTTGCAATACTAAAATGACTGCATAGATAATCTACTCCGAGCAATATCTGTTAGTTGTACCATTACATAATAAACTATTACTCTCAGTTATGTCCGTTATATCCACAAACAGTACCCGAGTCTGTCAACAATGCATGCTGCTCTGCATGTCTGTATTTAATTGGACTGTACCATATACTAGCAGGAAATGCATGGCAATCAGTTAGGGGTATAGTTTAGGATGCTAGTCCTTGTACTGGTTCTCAGTGCAGTAGTTAAAGTGACACTAAGGTCAAAAGGTATTTAAGCTTTTAAATAATGATGAAATGGCTTACAATGGCTGCTGCTTCATGATGTTTAAAAGTTTTAGCTTCCTGCAAAATCAACTGTTCCCCTGAGCACCCTGATATCCTGTTTTAGGGTGGCTACTTTCACTTGAAAAGTCGTATGGACCCACCCTTGTTTGTGTTAGTAAGCTGTGCTCGTCTCCGCAAACACACAGGCTAAGCAAGGCAAGGCATTACCCTCCCCCTGATACCCTCTTACTTTCACCATGCAAGTAGATGGGCAGATGCTGCACACATGATGACTGTAACTACTTGGGCCAAAATTATTTGCTGGGCAATATACAGCATATTTGTTTGATCTTGATACATTATTGGAAAAAAATAGGATTTTGGTACTCCTGTAAAATCCTTTTCTCTCCGTTCATTGAAGGACACAGGGCCCGCCCCTCTATGTGGGTGTGTACTCCTTTACTGCTTGTTACTAAACTGGAGACTTGTCAGCAGGTGGGGGGTTTGGCCACCGGCAGGGGCCGCCCCTAGGCTGTAATTGGTCTTTAGTTTTTTTGTGCCTAGCGTCCTTCTCCTGCAGGTGGCGATATTACCCTACAGTACATGATCTCCAATCTGTTCCCTGTGTCCTTCAATGAACGGAGAGAAAAGGATTTTACGGTGAGTACCAAAATCCTATTTTTAGCTGTTTTTTAATGTTTACATTTGTAAATCGCAAGTTTGTACATAAACCTGCTTGTCAGTAAGAACATTTGAAAGAGCTAATAATGTACAGCGTGAGTGCACCTTTATAAAGCCAGTGTTTAGGATAAATTTGGTCAGATGTCTGACCATGATCATTTACCCTCCTTGCCACATACCACTGATCTTACCCAATATGTTCTAACTTTACCAACCCAAACCAACAAAAATAATATAATAAACACAAACAAACAAATACCACTACCATTAGGGGTTCAGCATGTAACCATACTCTCTCCTTCCTATGACCCTACAACTTTGCCTAGCTATCGGTCCGATGCCTGTACGCAGATAGAGTCTATGAGCGGGGTCAAAAATCAGGAGGCTTTTACTAAAGTTAGCACATAACCACAGCTACAAAATGCCTAGATGCGTTTTATGCTATAGCACTTCGTCCAAAGGAGTTATGTTATATGCTAACATCAATAAAAGCCGCTCGGTTTTTAACTCCACTCAGAGACTCTCTGTACGTGTATCCGTCAGCCTTATGTTTGCCCTTAGATTTAAAGTAGTATTAAACTCTCTCTTTTCTCTCCCGTTCATTGAAGGACACAGGGAACAGATCGGAGATCATGTACTGTAGGGACGTCACAGAGCAGTACCAAAAAAGAGGGGTGGGCCAACAGAAACAACAAACCCAACTTAAACAAAAAAATTCCCTCAAACGGCCGCCTGCAACACTTTGCGCTCCAAACCAGCATCCGCAGATGCCAAAACATCCACCTTATAAAACTTGGCAAAGGGTGTGAACAGAAGACCAAGTCGCGGCCTTACAAACCTGAGAAACGGAGGCACCATGGCGAAAAGCCCAAGATGCACTTTTTCATTGTAGTAGAGATGCCAGAAAAACAAATGAAACAGATTTGCTGTGACCTGCTGATGTATTCTTTCTGCAGAAGAGAAAGTTAATCCAATCGATTATTTTCAGGTTAAAAGGAAAAGAAGGAAAGCAAACCTCTTGCTTATCTTACCTTGTGTTAGAACTGCCAGCTGTTCAGCGGCTGATGTGCGTAGTGCTATGTCCACACTTTCTGAAGTTAAGATTTCAGCCACTTTCTTGACAGTCTCTGCCTACAAATTCAATACACATGGCATACTGATTAAAAATCCTTGCCCGCTGAAATAAAAACTCAGCTTCAAGAACAACAAAGGCTAATTGTGTTATAGAAAAACTACAACCTGAATTGTGTTTAGATGTCACAGAAAGAAAATCAAGACATATTGAAAAAACCCAGGTCTGTTAATAAAGAACTATTGTACGGCCTTATTACGCAATAATGAAGATTATGAGACACACAAAAAGTTGCTGTCAAAGAGCAATATGATAAAACAAACATATAGGCCGACAGTGCTGAACTCTCCTGAAATCACGAGTTGCCTGGCTGTCATTCCAATTCTGTAGCTTCAACATTTTGATTCCCTGCTCTGGGGATGACGACTTGTGACTTTTCTGATCTGCATCCTAGCCTAGCATAATAGCCAATCATTTTCAAATGCGGGTCATCACAAATATTTCTCAAGACAGGTCTCTGTACAATGTACGGTGGCCCTTATAGCAAACCTGAACACACAGGATGGGGTGTGTGCGCATTTGTGTCAGTCCAGGCTTTGGCTATGCTTTCGTTGATGAAAGCTGGTTTGACTTATCACTAGAGACCACAGATGTCTACCGTAGTTGATGCTACGAATACCCGATCATTTCCCAATCATCTGCAGAGAGCGGTGACCGTCAGTCAGTCCTCCCCGCAGGGATTTCCCCTCTCCAATCCTCTTCAGCGCTGACTGGTGGAACAGATAGGGGGAGAGGGCTGGCACAGCTGGCTCTGCCTCTAGATAGGAAGAGCCCGCTGTCAATCAGCCAGCTGGGTGGATCTTGACAGTACTGTCGGGATCCGTCCGAGCTGCAGCGCTTTAGGTATATAGCGGGCAATAGCCGCTATATACTGAGATTTGGGTCACGGAAGGTTAGTATATGTCCTCCCGTGACTCTAAAGAGAACTATGGGATAAAAAGACTATGGGATACCCCATAATTAGCTAAATAGAGTAGAACCCCTTTCCACACATATAGGCTTCTCAATAAGGCAACAAGCAGTAACTCATAACTGCAATCTGAATTGGTTTTCCAGTGATGTGATTTCAGTAAACACGTTCATGCTTCAGCTTCACTATTTTTTTCTAATAAACCTAATAACACAGTACACAAAAACAACAAACAATGTGAACAATTATTCTTGATGCAATGGACTTCTCAATAAACATAAAAGGGTAAGGTTACAGGTAAAAAAAACAAAAAACATTATGTTCGTGAGGTTCAAAAAATCTTCTCAAGGCTCCTCAAATGTTCTCAAGGCTCTATCAAAATTCCAGATCTAGTAACATTGGACTTCATATCACTGTTTTTGATTAACCAGGTAGTTATTTGACATTTGGATTGTGCTAGAACATGATTCTTCTCCAAGCTGAGCTATGTATCTCATACAGATCTGCTGATGGCCTTATCAGCAGTGCAATGAAAAAATACTCCAGAGGGCCAACATTAAAGTCGAAGTGCCCAGATTTCCCTAGTTTATCAAAACGATAGAGGAACTGCATACATAAAAGGCATAGGAAGAATCAAATTACATAAAAATGGCAACTTTTAAATGAAGACCTCAACAACTATGAATAAATAGAAAACAGCAACAACACACACAAAGATCAATGGACATGTTAACCTTGAAAAATGATGTTCCCTTATCATCCAGCTTTAGGTCAACTGGCCGCTCTGTAATATAAAGACTAACAGCTTTAGATATGACACTTCCTTGTAGCTCTGGGCGCTTGCATCTTGAATCTCTTTCATTCAGTAGGTGGACTGATAGCCACTTAATGCCCAAAGAACGAAGCCTAGAAAAATCAAATCATAAAAGCAATTGAAACATTGTAAACTAAACCATAAAGCTGTTTATTGATAACCAGCGTGTCTACAAGCACTCTGAAATGACCCATTCGAACTTTACGACTGCAACATTTTGGCTCAATGCTATGAGACATTTTACCCTTAACACGTTTTGTTTTTTTATTATCAACTCCACCCTCAAAACCAATAGTTTTTGTTTTCCAATAACACTTAGCAACACTTCCTAAGAGGGCCTAAAGTCAATTTATTAAAGGAGAAGAGGATGCTCACTTAATAGAGTAAATGTTAGTGAATACGATTAAGCTGTGTCCACTTTGAATACTCAATCATGTGCTAGCAAACATCCTGGTTTTTTTAAAATAATTTCCCTTGTACATATTTAGGTATTTAAAGAAATCAGATGTTTACCTTATTTCCTCCATCTCACTTTCCAAAGTTATTTGCTAAGTGAACAGCCTCTATTGCCTTAATAAATCAACTCTATGTGTATAATGTTTTTGCCAAAATGTAAGGTTATTTATTGCTTGTGTTATGTGTTGCCGACATATTATGAGTGTAACCAGAAAATTATGGGGATCAGATTAATTTTTTATACTTATCTTCTCAAAATAAGTTAACAGTGCTTTTTTGTTTTGTTCATATCTTGTATGATCATTGCAGGAATGTATAATGTTTACTTTTAGACTTTAGCCCCATTTTAAAGATTATAGTGAAGCTTGTTTTGCATCCAAACTGGCCGCATAACATAACTATAATCGAATTTTAAATAAAAAATAAACTATTTCCCTATAGTTCCCTAAGGAAACTTTACTGTCAGCCGACAATCACATAATCATGCTTTTCAGGGTGAAGAAAGCTGGACTGGATATTTGCCATTCTCTCATTGCTAAGAAAATTTGATTGTTTACAATGACCTGGTATGGAGAAAAAACATTCCTCATTTTTAAAACAGAACTCTAAGCAAACTGCAACATGCAATATATAAATATACACAAACCTATTATTTTACATGTCAAGAGATTTAGAATTATTTTTCTTCTTAACATCTTGTGATTTACGCACCGCCTCCACATAGCAAGGCAGATAACCCTTTATTTCCTGGCTCAGCCAGGCAGATGACCCACTTATTTCCTGGCTCAGCCAGGCAGATGACCCACTTATTTCCTGGCTCAGCCAGGCAGATGACCCACTTATTTCCTGGCTCAGCCAGACAGGGGACCCATTTATTCCCTGGCTCTACCAGGCATGGGACCCACTTGCTTCTGGGCACAGCCAGCCAGGGGACCCGCTTAAAACATGGCTCATCCTGAGCAGTGGGCAATGAATCAGCATCACCTGGGAAATTATCCAAGAAAAGAAGTAAAAGGTGAGCCAGGTAGTAGTAAGGCTAGAGGTGGCCATACATTGTACGATTTTCATTCTAAATTTTTTGTTTTTGGCATGAACGTTCGATTATACCTAGACTTCCCCATCAAGCATAGTCAAATGTCTATTTCGGAAATCGTTTGGTTAGTCGTACTAACCAACCAATTTTGCTGAGATTTGTGATGAATCAAAACCCCATGGATTCATCCATTTTCATTTGGCTAGAGGAAAATTTCCCAACCTGACCAATTGTACAATGTATGGCCACCTTTAGCCAGCATGTAGTAGGGAACTCTCAGTAAACAGCTTCACCTTATTTCAGGCCAGCAACAAAATGATAGTACTGTAATAAACAAAATAAATTGCATAATAATAATAACAAATACTAATTTGTTTTGAGCCTTTAAAATAAAGAAAAAATAATTTTGGTAAGACAACACCACCAAAAGAAAGCTTTTATCTGCCCCCAAGAGAGAATGACGTAAGTAGTAATAACAAAAATACTTATGTCATAAGCAATTGTTGTGTTATGCCTTAGGCCCAATGCTGAAATGTGTACAGTGCTCTAGCTCATATGGGTAAATAGTTGTGAGTGCTGAAGTAGTTAAAGTGGAGCTTACATCATATACTGTATATTCTGTTAAGTGCATGTACACCAAGTAATATTTAATATGTAACACTTTCAGATATTTATCCCAGTACTGCCCCGATAATTAATTTCACTGCTTTTTTCTTCATACAGTCAGAGCCATATTTGTTCAGGCATCAGGTTCAGCATCTATGTCCTGGACTGAGATGATAGGTTAGAGATGACACTGTCATGCAAATCATTGTGTCTATGCAGCTCTTGACTATATTTAGAATTGTTTCACACAAGTTTTCCCCAGTTGAAGCCACACACACTCGCCAAAAAAAGCGTTTTCTACAAAATTACAATTTTGCAATCTGGATGAGAGGATACATAAAACATTGTTCCTTTTCCATCTCAGCCTTGGCAAACTCTCTTGACTGGTTTGCCACTAAAAAGTCTGCTTTTTAGTGGCATATTGTAGAGCATTGTTGAAAAATTAACCTGTTCCTGAATATTGTCAGGAATTTAAAAAAGGTAAAAAGTGACTTATGTAAAAATCAGGATAGACAGTGCAGCAAGCCAATTGATGAACATAAAGAGAAAAGTGAACTTACGTCAGCTTTTTAGCAAATAGAAATCGCATAGCAGCTTTTAAAAGATTTATTTTAGGCAAAGTTCCTTCCCCCCTTTCTGATGTCTCACACAAGGTTAAGATGGAGGTACCCACTGCATCATCCATATCTGCAAAACCCTGAAACATAAAAAAAATGTTAAACTCATCTGGCAAAATAAATCATTGAAACAAAGGTGAACTTTTAAACCCATGAAATATTAGACAGAAGATGCAAAACAAAAACTGCAATAAAGGTATATTGGGGGGGAGATTAACCCCTTCATGACTGAGCTAGTTTTCAGGTTCTGTTCATAAATGACTGACACATTTACATTTGCAAATCTTTTCTGGTGGTATGGTCCCTGATTCATGAAAACCTTACAACAGTTTTATTAGGAGCTCCGAGACATGCAACAGATTCAGGTAGTTATTTGTAGAACTTTCACAATGTGTCACTATGGCTGCTACAATTCAAAAATTATTTGCACCAGTTTGTGGATAACAAAACTGGAGGTAAAAAACCCCAAATGCACTGTGCCATGGTGTAGTGAAAACCAAGGCATGTTTGTGCTGGGAAGCTGTCATGAATGTGACAACTTCCCTCAGGGCTGGTTGGTTGCAAGAATGTTGGCAGCCTCCAGTGTCATAGCAACCAATGACTTATCCTTGGCCTCATTCAGCTACTGGCAAGGAGCTTCTCCAGCCAACAACTGAACGTAAACAAAGGGGCTGGGAATGCTGACTGATGTCATTACCAAAATATAGCAAAGACCATATTTGGCCAATAAAGGTCAGTCAGCATCCCCACCCCTTTGTTCAGCTGTCAGTTGGAGAATCTGACAGACAGCAGCTGAATGGGGCAGAGTATGAGTCAATGGTTGCTAGGACACTGTCTGCTGCACAGCCAACAGCGTCCAAGCAAAAAATGATGCAAGGCTGGATCAAAAGAGGGCGAAGCCTGATGTGGAAGCTGAAAGCCTAGTTCTCCATAAGGGTCCCCTAACTTGCTTTGGTTGTGGATGGCAGTCGGTGGATTCCAAACTCTGGTTTCCTCCCACACTCCAAAGACATGTTGGCAGGTTTATTGGCTCCAGTCTATATTGGCCTTCATAACTATGCATGTGATATAAGGACTTTAGATTGTAAGCTCCTTGAGGGCTCGGCACTATATAAATATATAATAAAAAATAATGATACACACCAGGAACCTTGTGCAAGACAGTAACAAACACTAAAACACAAAATGAAAAATGTATAGTATGGCAAAGACTAGCTAGTTGCATTCATAGCTTTATATGTAAAACTATGTATAGCGCAGAAAGAAAATGTAATATTTAATTTAGCTGTCTGACCTACTGCTCCATGTTATGCAAGTTGATCAACAATTTCTATGTTTGTGCTACCCTTTTACAACCCAGCATGGAAATAATGTTTATCTGTATTATATAAACATGTCAGTGCATTGTGAAAAATGTAACCTCCAAAGAAATAACAATGTGTAGAACCGCAAATCACTATGTAGTCATCACATAAAGATATTGCTAAGTGGCACCAGTTCCTATCTTATTAGTGAGCGCATAATTAGTTATTATTGCTGTGAAGAGAAATTTGTGATGTGACTCTTACATTTATACATGCTTGCTCTACTATATTTTTTTTTATTGTCATAAATATAGAGATTTGCAAATTAGACACTAGGAGCAGGTTAGTAAAAGTGCAAGTTAGGGCAAAAAATATATACATATGCAGTATATTCCTATATTACAGTCACATTTCCTCATGTTTTATCCGTTTAAAGAATTTGCGAGTACAGAAAAATAACTGATGATCTGCCTTATATACAGTCAGCCTCTAAGTCCTGTTATGGGCTGAACACACACAGCATTTTTGTGGACTGAGAGGTGACAGCCCTGCCCAGTTGTCTTTTATTAAACTAATAAAACCCTACCCCTATTGTAATTTCCACAATATAGATAATAATTATTCTGCAGGCCAAGATAAGAACAAGGAGGGCTAGTTAGAAGTAATACATGAAACGTGCACAGGACAGCTGTACATTTCTGACATGATCAATAGGTAATTGTTTTGTACATATTGAACAGATAGAGCTAAATTCTTTCAATAACATATGTATCAGACAGAAAGGAGCAAAAGAAACTCATTTTGGGGGTTACATACATTTTAGGCTGCTACAATGGCTCTTCCTAACTACTTAAAGTCTACTAAAGATTGTTGAGAAGATAGATCAGTCACACTTAAGAGTGCATTGTGCTCAGTGAGTTAACCAACCTATATACTTTCAATTTGGTAAAGCACAGCAGAGCACAACAACTGTGTGGCATTGCAAAGCAGGATGCATACCTCATGTAATGAGAAAATATGGCTGTCCCCCATGTGCATTTATAATGAAAAATTAGGCTACAACAAATTTAAAACATATTGATATGATTATTTACATCTAGCTGAGCTCTTCTCCATGTAGGATGAAAGAAATTGTTGGAAACATTTTATATTGTCTTTAAAAACATGTTGATACATCAGGTCCAAAATGAAAGGTCAACAGGAGATGCAAAATTAACACTTTGTGTGATATCCTTTATCATCGACAAGAGCCTCTTTTGTCAATAAGCCAGATTTGTGCAAAAAGTGTTTTATCTGCTTTTAAAGCATCAAGACACAAAGTATGAGTAAATGGACAAAAGTGAGTTAAAATGGACAATACCTGCAAAACTGGTATGACAGGATGAAGTGCTTCAATAAATTTATTCCAGCACAATGCAGGCATGACAAGCTGTCCTTTAAGTAAAAATGATAGAATGGCCTTGGCAGAACAACAAACCTGTAAGAAATACAGAAATAAAAAAAACACGCTTTGAGAAGAAGGAATTATTCACATGGTGTAAAGCAATATTGAAAATAGGGTGCGCAACAGATAGAGCTTGTGTCAATCAATGGCTTTTGCTTGTGACACATGGGTTTTGCAATAAAGTCTAAGGGTGAAGAGTTGGGAGAAGGCTGGAGAAGTGAACAACCTGGGACAACTTAGCCGAACTAGAAAGTGAGATGAATTGGAGAATTTCTCAAAATCCACTATTTTGGCCCAGATTGTTCACTTCTCCGGCCTTCCCCAAACTCTTCACCCTTTTGTGAATAACCCTGTAAATAATCAGAGAATCATCTCAACTGATACCACTGTCACAGGTCCTTTAGAAAGTGTAGAAAGGAAGTCTACTGACAAAAAGGGGAACTGCTGCGCCAGTAAACAAAAACAAAAACATTCTGCTGTCCATGTACATTTTTAAGAAACTGAAGGATGAAGCTTAGCCCTCTTATGTGCAAAGTCATTAACACAAACCTCATACACTGAGCATTGCTTTTTGGTGTTTGTGTGTGTGGGGCTTTTAGTCGTTACATTGCTCACTTGAGAATCCATTACTTTTAATGTACAGACTATCAAATTTCTTTTTACAAAAAATGACAAAGACAATCCAGTCATGCCACCATATAATGGTAATGATCTAACCTCTACTGTAGAAAATATTAGTATCTAAGGTCAGAGATGAGTCCCAAGACCACAAAAACATATATGGCCATAATTATATGCTCTCTTCTAACCAGTGAGATCTAAAATGACCTTGAATACTCATCTTATTTTACAGAGAAAACGTAGTTTAAGTGATTGTCTTTTTTTGGTCTTGCAAAGCTGGGATCCTCAGTTTAGTTCTTAACAGGGACATCATTTTAATGAAGTTTCTAATACCAGTCCATATAGCTTTGGGATCCCCTGCAAACAGCTAAGTCTATGTTTATCAAAACAATAGATGAGGAGGTGTAGCTAAGCAGTTGAGACCCACACTTCCAAGTCTAGCACTGCTAAGTGTATACATTCAGTAAGTAGCGCAATGATGTTGCTGGAAACTACACCTATATATTTGTTTAATTTGATGACATTGGCCCACATGAACAAGCATTCCACTTTTTATGCAAACAGTCCCATGACTATCTAGAAATTAGATTTCTAATTAACAGTACCCATACTCCTTGGGGGTATAGGACCCAAATGATGAGGGTATGGGACCAGATCTGAATATTAACAAAAAAACAGGATTCTATTGCATTACTTTAAAGAGACATTAAACTCAGGAGTCAAACCTTAAAAATGAATGCAGGTAGCCTATTAATACAAATGTAGCTTATGTGTACATCACTCAGCTGTATATCCTCAAATCATCTCGTAATTGGTGCGACACTGCTCCAAGCTTGCTCCCGTGATGGACTACAATCTCAATACAAATTAGTAAACTAAACACGAGATTGTAGTCTATCACGGGAGCGACCTTGGAGTTGTGGCTACTTTACAACACACACAGGGACCATAGAGAACAAAGTACTGACCCTCCAGAAGGAAGGACAGTGTCAGCACCAATTCAGAGGTGATTTGAGGATCTACAGCTGAGTGATACACACATAAGCTACATTTATGTTAATAGGGTACTTGAATGCATTTTTAAGATTTAACTCCTGAGTTTAGTGTCACTTTAGCCTGAAATCGAAATGGAGAAATCAAGGTGATGTGTCAGATGACATGTGAGTAACATTGTCAGTAACTGTAACTCAACCTTTTCATTGCATAAAAACAGCAGCAAAAATCTAATTAGTTGGACCTGTAAGATATAAATTATTAGGCATACTTACATTGGTTCAGCTTGGCCCAATGCAAGTATGCATATGCCGTAACTGATCGACCCACGGGGAGCCTGTAAAGCTCTGGCTACTAGAGTGCTGATAGTGATCTTCCTGATCCTGGTGCTGTGCTGAGTGGTTTCCCCTATGCTCTGAAAACACAGCGGCCATTCAGAGAATCACTAATATTTATTTAACGAGTACAGGATCATGATGTTACTGCCCCTCATCCAGTCAGAGACCACTTTGCATTCATCAATAAAAATACTAGGCATTGCCTAGTGTTGAGTGAGTGACCCCCTGTGCTTTCAGAGCAGAGAGGAAGTTGCTCAGTTCAGCACCCGGACCCAGAAGATGACTGTCAGCACTGTAGTAGCTTCAGCTACTACAGTGCTTTACAGGTTCCCTGTAGGTCGATCAGGTATAACATATGCATACTTGCATTGGGTTAAGCTGGACCAATGTAAGTAAGTATGTATAACCATTTATATCTTAAATTGAACTTTAACTGCAGCAGAGAAAAAAAAACCTTAGGTATTGCACCCTGCTGAACAGGTCTGTGTTGTGTGAAGAATTGAAAAATTATCAGCGCTGTATAGATAAAAAATAAAAATCCTTTGACAGATACAGCAGCTTCCATATTGTATTTTTCTCTGTGTTTGACTGGAGTTCAACTTTAAAAGATATGCAAGCCCAATTATTGGGTAAAGTGTATAAGTGTTTGAAAGTTAGAGACATTTTAACATAAATGTACAACATTGTTAAATAGATTTGTTGTAAGTTCCTTATTTGACACCATACAGTATTTATATATTATAGAAAAAGCATGCATTTGTAAAGTAGTAAAGTGTAAATGGATACCTCTTGGTTTGAGTCTTGCAGGCCAAACGTGATTATTTCATAGAGAACTTTCGGATGAAGTAAAAAATTTATACTACTGCAAATCGAAGACACTGGCTTTGTCACATTGTAAATTCCTAAGGCATCCTACAAAGTGATAAAATAACCTATTAGTAGATAATATAAAAAAACACAATTATTATACAGGATTTATATAGCGCCAATAGTTTGCACAGCGCTTTACAATATAAGGAAGAAATTACAGTCACAATACAATTCAAGACAAGATGGTAAGGAGGGCCCTGCACGTGAGGGCTTACAATCTAAAAGGGAGGGGCAAGTGATACATGAGGAGGTAGCTGCGCGGGGATGATTGTTTGAAAAAGTGATTGTTCAGTGGTTAGGGTGAAGTGTGATAGGCTTCCCTGAAGAGATGAGTCTTAAGGGATCGCCAAAGGCAGTCAGTGTGGGAGATAGACAGACAGGTTAGGGTAGAGAGTTCCATAGGATGGGAGACACTCTAGTGAAGTCCTGGAGGCGAGCATGGGAGGAGTTGATGAGGGAGCTGGAAAGCAGGAGGTCTTGTGAAGAGCGGAGGGGACGGTTAGGGTGATACTTTGAGACCAGGTTGGAGATATAGCCGGGGCCAGAGTTGCGGATGGTTTGTACGCAGTTATTAATATTTTGAATGTTATCCTTTGGGCTATAGGAAGCCAGTGCAGGGATTGACAGAGGGGGGTTGCAGACACTGAGCGGTTGGTTAGGTGAATGAGTCTAGCAGCTGCGTTCATGATAGACTGAATTATGACAATTATGGCGTTTTCTTGCATTTCACATATAATCATCAAAGTTTGTTATATTATACTTATCTTGGCAGAAGTGCATTAGACTCTGGTCAAGCCTATGTGCTTTTATATCCTTGTTCCGATATACATTGTCTACGACATCTTATCCATACTTAAAGTGGATTTTCTGAGTGGTTTCCTGGGAAGCTATACATGTTTTTATAAAATAGTTTTTTACAAGTGCACTTTTCGATTATTTTTTGCACGAGTGTATTCCGCCATATTGTCTTTTTAAAATATAAAAACAGTATTTTTGTATTCTTTTATAGGCTTATGCATTATTTATAGTGCTGCAGGCTGCACATAACAGCATGGAAAGTGTTTTTGTGCTTTAAACTGTTTATGGTTCGTTCCTTGTCTTGCACGGTCAGTGATACAAGTTTACTTATAGAAGAAAAATTATGTTTGTGCATGTGTTTTTTTTTAAGTAACTAAACTTTAAAAGTCTTTGAGCTCATTTTGATCAAACTAAGTTTTAATATTTTAGTACTTTAATAAATTTATGAAGTGAAACTACACATTACCTTTACAATTTCAAGACAATTATTATAAGCTTCAACTCTCACAGCAGGCACCCAGTGGGACATCATGCGCAGAAGTACTTTCTGAGACTCTTCCAAAAGTACAGGGCCACTTTGTGCGGAGTTAAATCTGTTAGAGTCGTGGACAGCAAAATGTAACAATTCCTTAATGAAATAGTAATAATCATATTAATAATAAATCAAAGATTAAAAGGCTTGCTTCCAAATTATTGAACAGAGTGTTTAAAATCACAGCATAGTAAGAGGTGTTTTACTTTGTATGTAGGAAAACACCAGAACATGAGAAAGATTTCTTTAATTGGTATTGCCTGACCTCTGCTGGCTTCAAAAGCAATGGATTTTACTACACTATTTTCAACAACAAAACATGGACATAGATTACAACATAAAGGAAGATGTGCACATTTTTAATGTGTGTTAATGCATCACATAAAAATGTGTTTAAATAACATAACTGAAACTACTGGAATTATTAATCATAATACATGGAACCTGAAGTACAACTAACAACAGCAAACACATTTTTATAAACCACATACATGTCTGAACAAGCGTGGATGAATTTTCGAACCAATGGGAAATGCTTGTGGTAGGGAAGGCTAGTGAGTGCTTTCTCAGCCAACTCCACCAATTCCAAAAAGTTTGCGCCCTACAAAAAAAAGGGAATAAATCAACAGTTAAGTGAAACTCTGTATGACCAAATTCAATAGAATGTATAGTATGATTCTAAATAAAGCAAACAAACAGATTCAAGAAACTGCATACTTTCTATATCAATTCAAATATCCAACAATTGTATGCTTTGTTTTTTTTTGTATGGATAGAGCAAGAAAGATTTTATACGCTAGCGGCATTCTAATTAAAATATTTCTTCTCTCTGCTCTCATGACAACTATATTAGTACTTCCTCATTTTTCAAAAAGAGGTCTTGCCATATAAAGCTTTGCTTGTGTAATATATTCATTAGATATTATAATATATATATATATATTTGACTGCATCTATCTGCATGTTATGTGTCTCTCAGTTCCTCAATTGTGTTACTGTGAATCTGTCTGCTTTAACGTCCTAGCTATTGTTTTGTTTGCTTATCACATCTCCCTTGGGGGGTAAACAACAACCTTATTTAAATCCTCCAATCAGGTTACGCCCAATGTACATTTGGTAGCCACTGTACAGAAAGGAGGGTACATAAGGTATTGTTAGCAAGCCACGGGCTCTCTCTTTTACCTGGGACACAAGGGCATTCAGTATGAACAGGCGAGAAGCTGAGAGGTAAAACTCCACCACACTTTACATGCTTTGTAAATATTGTTTTGTGTGTTATATGTAAATATGTAACCCTGTCAATAAATGTATATTGCTGATTGAACTACTTCTTTTGTCTAAGAATCCTCAGATCTAGGGGTGTTTATGTGAATATTATTGTAGTCATTGAAATATATTTAGATATCCATTTCCCGTGGGTAACAGGATAGCCCTGATCAGCATCAACAGAGTACAACCAAGGCTGACCAAAAAAGTCCTTCCTGCAAGCAATCAAATACCCGATACAGCATTTGTGCTTTTTAGAGCTACCCTAGGGAGCAATATCAAGCACTTCTAACCCCCATAGGAACCTTATTCCCAGGCAAAAAAACAACCTTAGGGCCTGTATCAATGATCTTTGGGCTTGTGCCTATGGGATCAGTTTGATGTCAGTTTGAGATGCTTCCGAGATTATTTAGAATTTATTGATAGGTGCATATCCTAGCTATGTTTTGTTTGCTTATCACATCTCACATGGGGGGTAAACAACAACCTTATTTAAATCCTCCAATCAGGTTACGCCCAATGTACATTTGGTAGCCACTGTACAGAAAGGAGGGTACATAAGGTATTGTTAGCAAGCCACGGGCTCTCTCTTTTACCTGGGACACAAGGGCATTCAGTATGAACAGGCGAGAAGCTGAGAGGTAAAACTCCACCACACTTTACATGCTTTGTAAATATTGTTTTGTGTGTTATATGTAAATATGTAACCCTGTCAATAAATGTATATTGCTGATTGAACTACTTCTTTTGTCTAAGAATCCTCAGATCTAGGGGTGTTTATGTGAATATTATTGTAGTCATTGAAATATATTTAGATATCCATTTCCCGTGGGTAACAGGATAGCCCTGATCAGCATCAACAGAGTACAACCAAGGCTGACCAAAAAAGTCCTTCCTGCAAGCAATCAAATACCCGATACAGCATTTGTGCTTTTTAGAGCTACCCTAGGGAGCAATATCAAGCACTTCTAACCCCCATAGGAACCTTATTCCCAGGCAAAAAAACAACCTTAGGGCCTGTATCAATGATCTTTGGGCTTGTGCCTATGGGATCAGTTTGATGTCAGTTTGAGATGCTTCCGAGATTATTTAGAATTTATTGATAGGTGCATATGACTTTCAGTTGACCTCCTTCTGGCCTGCGTTTGACCTGATTCATGCATTTTTGATTTCCCATAGACTTGGAAATCGAAAATGACGCCTGATGAGAACAAAAGCCTGGCGACACAGGCCCTTACACTCATTCACTGATAACATAATAAAGAGAAGTGCCCAAAGCGCTAATACCACCCTTGCTGCTCCTGGCAATCTTTTCTATCACCCAATAACACACTGCAATACACCATTCTGGTGCTATAAAGAATATACCACAGCACCAGAGAAAAGGGTGCAGCACTGATGTTGTGGCATACTATTACAGAAGTTGCCAAGCTTTTTTTCCCCTAAAGTTAAACTTCCTTACTACTCTTCTTTGAGGGTGCTGTAAGCTGTACCAATCAAGACTAGCAGTTACAATGAGGCTAAGGCACTTCCAGTGTTCAGTATACATCTGCAAAGATCATCTGCTAGTAAAATCTGGAAGTGGGGAGCAAGACCCACTAAAATGAAGACTCACAGGTTGGAAAACTAACTAAATAAAATAAAAAAATGAAGAACTCCCAACAAATGTTAGAAGTAGAAAAGACAAGTTGGAGATAGACATTAAAGAAACCTACCACCGGTCCCCATTAAGGTAGAATGGGTAAGAGGTGGTTCTCAATATAAAATCAAAGTCCCCAGGTTTCAAATAGGGTTGCACCAAATTATCAACGGCAGAAACGTTTCGGCCAGAAATGGTAATATCGACAAAATGCTGACAGGAAAAAAAAAGTGCCAATAATACGGTGCCTGCCCTACAGCAGGAGCTTTCACTGCTCCGCCACTGCTTCCTTCCCTTCCAGCTGCTGTGTTCAAACAGATGTAAACAGCAGGCAGTCAATAGCAGGCTTACTATTACTGTGGCCAGGGGGGGGGTTGGCAGAGGATAGTCATGCATTTTCGGTATCGGCCAGACAAATTTCTATTTCTCAGTCTCGGTCACAAATTTTCATTTTGTTGCATCCCTAGTTTCAACCACTAATGTAAACTTTATCAACCATCTCCAATTTCCAGGGATAATCAAAGATTTGAATGTTTCCTCCCCATGACAATTTGGTCTAAACAGTTTTGCAGAAGTTGTCAACTACTAATTTCTACAATGATTTGGGTTAAATTGAAGAGTAGCAGAAAAGTACATGTATTTCACTTGTCACAGATCGGGGTTCACAGGTATAAACTGGAATCAGGTCTGTGGACAGCATCTACTACACTGGCAGGGACAGTTAGAGAAAAGGGTGCGAGCAGTGTAGGCTGACGACTCACAGAGCTGGAGTACAAGCAAGACAGAATAGGCTGGTAGGTCAAGGTACTAGGCAGGGTGCTGCAATGCTAGGTAGGTGGCATAAGGCCCCCCATGACGTGGAATCTAAGGGCCAGCTGGTGTTCACCAGAGCTCGTAATGGTTGAGATGGACTTGACTGCGTGCTGACCCCAGGTTCACCCAACTCACCTAACAGCTTAGAATAGTAGACAAGGCCAGAGTTCTGGACAGGTTGCAGACACGCATGCAACGGACAAAACAAAGGTCAGGGACAGACAGATACTTTAGCCTCCTGTCCCATCGCACTCCTGACCGGACAAAAACTCAAATCCAACTGGGTGGATGCGGTGGTCACGGATGCCTCCGTGAAATGTAGATAGATGAAAGTAGTCACTTGCACTCCATGATATTAAAGTCAATGCTGTTTATTGACTGAGATAACACACATCTCCTTAGCGACGTTTCGAGGCCAAGCGGCCCCGTCCTCTGTTTGTCTGAGGACGGGGACACATCGAGTGCGAGTGACTACTTTCATCTAGGGACAGACAGATGACCAGGACTTCCAGAGACAATCCAAAGGATAAGGACAGACTGAAGACTGGGATTTCAAGGGACAAGCCAAAGGTCAGTACATGGGTAAACTCCGAGGAATTCTGGTTTAATGGCAACCTGGGGTGGGGGGGCTCAGCATCTAGGGGGCTCAGCATCTAGCTTGGGAAAGCCAGGCAAGAGGGAGGAACCACAGGATTGGCCACAGGCAGACTGCACTGATTGGCTGAGAAGCTGCATAAGAAACAGCAGGAGAGGTCGGCCGACACCTAAAGCTGCCAGACTGGTGCAAGAGTGAGTCTGGATGGAGGACTACAAGCAACAGCACAGCCCTGCATGCCTGCAGAACCAGGGGTAAGAGGTCTGTAAATACTTGTAGTACTAGTAACAGCTCAACTGCAGGTCTGCAGTTGAACTGTGACAATGCGTTTTGTACTCCCATGTTCCATTTAACATACATGTACCATTTCCATATATTAGCCACTAGTATTCCATTACTCATGATTAAAAAATGACTGATACAAGAAGGTCATGTTCTACATTAATAAGCCTTGTACAAACCTCTTTGCTTGAACAAGACATAAAGGATGCTGTACACTCAATTGAATACACAGTCTCAGAGGCTTGTTTATAGGCCCCATAGTCCTCAGAATTCAGCTGCTCCATAAAAGCGATAACAGATTCATGAACACTGGGATATGCAATACGAAATGGCAGGTCGACAGATATGAGAAACAAAGCATTCATCAAGCTTTCCGGCAGCACATCATTTGCCTTAAGAGGAAAGAAAAAACAGAAACACATAAAATATTTCTCAAAAGCGCTGAAGGCTTTATTTGCACTACTACTAATTCGAGCTAAGGAAGATACAGCTACTTCCGCTGTATAACAATTTAAATATTTCATTGAAAAACATTTTATTTTAATATTTCATTGAGTGACAAAAAGACATAAAAACACTGCCATCAACGTGCCCAGTCCAGTTCCCTAAAGGACCAATTTGGAGAAGCTTGTTCCGTGAGCTCTCCAGTCTTCTTCGGAATGGTGCCTGGGCTGATTATAATTCCTAGCTCCACTGTAATGTCTTCAGAAATCAAACTCACTAAAGGGAGGCACTTTTGTGACTTAATGTGCTTAGCACAGCATGTATTTTCAATGACTAGGAATATGAGCAGAATATCAACCAATCCATTCCGCCCTCATTATTTTTAAGTCGCTGGAGTGAGCCACAGTTCTTACACAATGGGAGTTTTCTTTTATTTATTTTTTTAATCTGCCTGCTCTTGAAGACTCCGTTACATTCAGTAAAAATACACAACACCAACAACAACTGATGCATTAACGTTTTGATAATGGCATTTAATGGGCTATGTGGATGCATATAATGTGTATTTATATTCTTTGATGGGATTTGTATTAATAGATATCATGAAGACAGTATGTTTGTGGTGTTCGAAATTATTTCATAGAAGTCATAAATGCTCACAAATATATAGTTCAACTTGCTGTAAACATCTTATCAACTGGCAGAGGGCAGCAAAAGCCTGCACACTGGAAGAAAGGGAGACATTCTATGCAAAACATGTCAGCTCCAAACTTGTGGAGACATTCCACTTTGCATGCCAATAAATACCCAAAGATTTAATTGAAATCCATTCTCCCAATTTCCCTTTCTTGTTACTAACGTAGTTCCTTTACCTGGTATTATTACTGCAATACACTAATAAACTCAAAATTCACTGAAATATATAATTTCAGAAGAGCATGTATAGAATCATTTGCCATATATAAAACACACAATATTGAAATTATAAATTACAATTTAGAATGAAAAGAAAAAAAAAAAAAACACCAAATTTTATATACTTCATATTGAATCTTATTTTTTCCATTTCCCTTTCTTGTTACTAATGTACTTGCTTTACCTGGTATTTTTACTACAATACATTAATAAACTAAAAAATTATCTGGAAAAGACAATTTCAAAGTGATTGCATAAAATAATTTGCCATATACAGTATACACAATATAGAAATGATAAATTACAAACAAAAAAAAACATTTTACACTTTTACACTTTATATGTAATCTTATCTTCCCAATTTCTCTTTCTTGTTACCATTGTACTTCCTTTACCTGGTATTTTTGAACTGCAATACATTAATAAACTCAAAATTCCCTGAAAAAGATCATTTCAAAAGTGGATGCATAGAAAAAGTTGCCATATATACACATTATAGAAATGATGTCACAAAAAAATAAATAAAAATCACACAATTATATGCTTTATATGGTAAATGTAAAAGGTTTACCAAGTAATTCAGCGATTGTCAAATTGCACTTAAAGAATTACATTAGACCAAGCTGAATGCTATTTTCTTTAATAAGTATCCTAAATAATGACAGGAGTACATAAAATAATAGCCCCCAAATCATTTGTGTCAGTGGGATGGTGGCCCCCAGAGGAGCATAGCCCCCAATTCATTGGCGTCAGTGGAATCATGTCCCACAGGAAAAATGGCTCCCAAAGTACTGCTGTCAGTGGGATCGTAGCCCCCAGGGAAGTCAGTAGGATCGTAGCATTACACCAAGAGCAGAATAGCCCCCTCAATTCATTGGTGTCAGTGGAATTATGTCCCCCAGGAAAACTAGCCCCCAAATTGCCAGTGTCAGTGGGAAAGGTGCTAAAAGAAGAAAAGCATAGAATAGAGCAGACATAGGTAAAGGTGGACAAACAAAATAAAAGGAAGAAATATGAGTAAAGACAGGATAAGAAAGGTATAGAGAAAAGGAGAAAAAATTAAGGGGTGCAGGGGGAAAGTATTGGGAGGGAGGGTTGAAAGGAGGGAAAGGGCCAGCTATAGAGGGGGCTCGAGTCTCTCCTCAGTGTCTTTGTATGATCGCCTGGGCAGTATTTATCAAGTGTATATGTAAGGATGTGAAAGAAGTAGATACTGAGACATCATGCCAATTTAAAAGAAATGTTTCCGGGGTGAATGGTAAGCGTGTCCCCGTAACTTGAAAGATTATGTTGTGGATCTCAGTACAATATGGCTTAAGCACCAGGCATGTCCAAAATATATGAGAAACGAAGCTCACTCCATCTGGTTGCCAACACGTATGGGGAAATTTGGGTACTTCTTAGGCCTCATTCACACTGCCGCACGTATTGTACCATATGCAACCTATGCAAATAAATGGCTCCATACACACAGCCGCGTATAGAGCCGTATATTTGCGTAGCTTATATAAGCGCAAAAACAGAATGGAACAGAGATGCGTCCGGGCAGCGTATTTATGCGCATATACGCGCGTACAGCACATTATAAATTCTATTACATGTGATGCATTCTGGGATTGCATATAGTGCACACATATACGCTCGTTGTGTGTGAATGAGGCCTTAGAAATAATCTAAGGAGTCCGGTACCAGAATGTAAAGATCTTGTAATTAGTCTCTGTTGTGCCCAGCTACTGACTGAGCTTTTGTGTACCCCCATACAAACCTCCTGCCATGATTAATCTGTAAAAGAAATGCCTAATCCTTTCTCCCATTTGCTACATAGAGTAGACAATCGGTCAGGTTTACTCCCCCCCCCCACAGTTGAAATGCAACCAAGAAATCAAATGTCTAGTAGGTCCACCCCCAATGCAGCCTTTTTTTAAACAGAGTAAGATTCCTGGTGAAGTTCAGTATTCTGTTCAGGTGCAGCAAAAAGTGTCTAATCTGAAGATAAGCCCCCGAAGGGATTGTTCCATATTAGGAGTAATCAGCTAAATCTGCTTTATCTAGAAAACAGTCGTCTGTTAAGAAAAATTTTGTCATCAGCAGACATGAAGGAACCCAATAGTACTGAAATTCAGCTGTGTTCTGTAGTGAAAATCTAAGTTTCCTATAATGTTTGCTATTGTGTTAGCAACAGTAGTAAGAACATTCAGACAGGGCAAGCTGATTTCAATGCTGAATGAACCACTTACAATGGATTCTGCTATAAATTGATATTTATAAGCTTTAATTTCCTGCAGAATCAGCGTGTCCTCTAAACACTGGCCCTGATTTCCTGTTTTAACGTGTCTCCTTTCACTTGCAGGTTCCTGTGGAGCCACTCTTGTGTGTGATATTAAGCTGTGAGCGTCTCCACAAACACACAGGCACAGCAAGGTAAGTCACTGCCCTGCTTCCTACTTCCTTCTCCATTCTAGTAGATGGACAGCTGCTGGAGACTGCTCTGTCCCTCGTGATCTTGTACTGGACCGGGCGTTTAGGGAAGCTGATCTGAGAAAGTTGTTTGGAAACATGATGACTGTAAGTGCTTGGAGAAAAAAATACAAAGGAATACTTTGCTGGGCAATGTATATATTTGTTTGATCGGGATTCATCATTGAAAAAAAAGTTTGAAAGTTAAAAATAACTTTAAGTTTTTCTATGTGTGATCACGTGATCACAATGCTCCGGTTCATTCTTTGCCTTGGAGCTATGGATGCCAGTGAGATATCACTTGTTAGAAGCAGTGATTGTGGTTTTTATAGTGAGATGTCACTGCTCTATGGGATTCAGCAGAGGCCCTCCACAAGACACACCATATTAAAAGACTTAAAAAGTAATAAAATAATAAGGTATTCAGAAAGTAATTTATTAGAAAATGTATGTAGGGAGGATCAGAGCAATGAGGAAGCCACGTTTAAAAGGTGGATTATTGTGTAGCCTTTCCTTCTTCTTTAAATTCCCAGTTAACTGGCAAATCTTTGAACGTTAACTATGGCTCATCACATTATACTGAACAATAATTCTGAAAAATTATTCAGCAGCTTGAAACTTCATAATAAGGTTACAAGCCCAGAAAAATGCCATGGAATGAAACCATAATTCAAGTACGTCACAGAGATAAAGATACACAGACATAAGCAGGCAATTGTGATTAAACTGACATATAGCAAGACAGGTTCAGTAAGGTGCCTAGGGGATGAAGCTGTAACATATTGCGTACAAGCTGTCAGTTTTTACTTCATAAAGTAACAACAGACTTTGAGTCTGTCCAACCACATCTCTATAGTGTATCTGATATATTTTGCGCTCGCTTGTTAACAAAATGAAATATACCTACCAAAAAATATTTAAAACTCTATGTTTATTAGTTCCGCCTTCTCTGTGTAAGAGATCCAATAAATATTTATTTTAAAGAAGAACTCCTGGGGGAAAAAAAATATTAACCCTTGTATTGGGGCTACCCAAGCACTTCAAGTGTTAAGTGCTTGTTTGTGTTTAGGTGCAAAAAAAAAAATACACTTACCAGACCATCCGAGCGTTGTCTGGAAAGTCTCTCCCCCTCTGCTGCAGTGGTCTAAGGATCCTGGTGTAATCATGCTCTATACACTGTGCATAGACTGTGTATAGAAGTGAGGACACTGAGGAGCAGTCCATCTGTGTAGCTAGGAGGAAACACGCTTTAGTGATCACAGAAACAAGGAGCCAGCTGAGATGGTCTGCCAATATTTTTGTTAGCACCTAGACAAAAACTAGCACTTAACCCTTGCGGTGATGGGGCAGTCCCACTGCAAAGGTTAAAATCATTTTTTAACTGGCCTTCTTCTTTAAACGCTTCCAGGCTGGCCGTTGTAATTAAACAGCCAGCCAGGAGCCTTTTGAATGTGAGATACCTTATATAAATCTTAATTATAACCATTTAGTGGACTCAGTAAGCTGAAAGTTAGATAACATTAGTATTTCAGCTCTGGTTCCCCAAGATTGGGTGCACACATGAACTACTTAAAACACAAAGATGCTCCAACACAACACTGGCACAAGGAACACCATGTTTGTGGTTGCTGCTTGCTTACCACTCTATACACAGTGGGGGGAATTTATCAAAGCTGGGGCAGACAGAATCTGGAGCAATTGGTAACCAATCAGCTTCTCTCTTTCAGTTTGTTCAGTTAAAGTGATATTAAAGTCTCGTTTTTTCCCCCACCGTTAGCTAAATCTACTTTTCTTTGTATTTAAAAATGTTTAATGCCTTGTTTTCTAGTGGGTCCCAGCAGCGCTCATCCCCCACCCGCAGCACGGGTGCCGCCATCAGCTAAGCAGCTGCTGTAGAGGTTCCCATGCATACTCGTGCCTGCAGTGGCTGTGTGCATCCATAGAAGCAAAAAGCCCTGCGGCAGGTCACTCTCGGCCCAACAGTTTGATAACAGAAGGAGCCCATGGTTCCTCTGCCATAAATATCCTCCACCGCAAACAGAAAGAACGGGGAACGGAGGATCACTTCAAGACCAGCGGCAGTGACAAGGCGCTAACAGCTAAGTGTGTGTGTTTTGGGGGGGTGGGAGAGAAAAAAGGTACTGGACGGTTTTTACCCTAATGCAGAGACTGCATTTAGGTTAAAACAAATGCCCAGACCTTAATGCTACTTTAAACCATCAAAATGAAAAAGAAAACCTGATTGGTTGCTGTGGGCAACTGCTCCAGCACTGATCAATTCCCCTCAATAATATGTTACTCCTTAACATCATTTTTACACATCCAGTAAAATACACGTGGCACTTACAGAGCACACATCCCTTAACAACCACTTTAGCCCATACCAACCTCTTTATAACTTGCATACCTGTTATATGCCATACTTGCTATAATTCCCAGGTCCACCATGTCTAAAAAAAATAATTTTGAGTTTTTGTTAAATGATATATAAATTAGGGATGCACCAAAATTTCGGCTGCTGAAACATATCGGCCGAAAATGGCGCTTGGGCAAAATGCAGAAAGTGTCATCCATCCATAGTTTCTCTCCTCCCCGCTGGGCGCTGCTCTGTGTTTCCTGACACAGCACAGCGTCCAGCAAGGAGGAGAGAAACTGTCAGGAGCCCACTTATTTGGGTTGTAGGAGCAACGTTCAAACTCTAGGCCACTTGCTCTTGCTTCAATTTAGAGAACAGAACATCTCACCCTCTCTTCACCTCCATAACCCAAGTGGGAGGTGTTCTGTAATCTAGAGTAATTAACTGGACAGGATTTATAACCCTGCTTGAGATTTGAGTGTGGCAAAGTGCACAGGAAGTGCTCAACAAATATATTATTTTTTTTACACTTATTAAAAAGATATACTTTCAATGGTAAGAGAAGTTAATTGTTAGAGTATATATGCACTTTAGATGCATTCTGAGATTTTTAGGGCATTCTCCTCTGTAAACAGTTTAAAATTCCCAAGAAGTCATGTTGTGCAACCCAGCACTTACACTAAGCATATTTTTAAAAGGCTGGCACCTGTGTAGCTCTACCCTAAGGAAAATGTGATATATATGTATTATAGCTTAACACCATGTTGGATTCCACGAGTATTCAGCTTAAAACCTACTGCTGTACAAACTTAATTACAGTGCCCTGAAATAGGCCACTGAAAGATCAATACTCGGAGTTATAGACAAACAATTCTTAGCTGCAGCATTATATCTAAAGAGTAAACTCACTCCAACTCGAGCTGCAGATATCAGTTCAAAAGAGACGACCAACGAGTCTTAACTGGGGTATTAATATTTACAAAAACAATCCAGAGAAAGAAGCTTAAAAGGTTTTGCATTTCAGGATTGCTCTTCATCCCTCACCTTTTCCACCGGGAGAAGCGTCTGCAGCAGTCGCATTGTAAAAAGAGAGATGCTGATAAATGCCATTCTGTGGTTCACAAGAGAAGAGTCAGTCTTCTCAGAGCTATTGTTATTTTTATGATACAATATAGCCTCCCCAAGTGTATCCAGCACGAAAAGCAGTTTACATCTCTGTAAAAAGAAAGCACAAAAGTGAGTTTTTATTACATTATTGGAATAGGCTTAAATCATATAAGAGATGTGGAATTTATTGCATCTGTGCTCAAGAAAAAGCCACCCTTTCCAAAAATCATTTATAATCAAGTTCATATTTTGCTGGATTGTTGTCCATGCATAACCTTTCAGGAAAGAAAAAGAAAGAAAGAAAAAAGATCAGAAAAAGGTGTTATTGACGTTGTCTCATTATTTGCCTTCTCCCTGGTTACCACAGCAACCTGCACTGCTGCTTAGGCCTTCCATACCCTGGTGTATAAAGAAATGCTTTGTGAGCATGTTTTTATTGATGCAAACTTAATATAGGCTCGATGGCTGGTATCAAAATTTAATTGCTGGTCCAAGATATTTAGTGCATAGCATGTTTCCATAATCACAGTGCTGCTATCTCACCAGTTCTTGTCCTATGAGACTCCGGTCCTCCCATACGTTTTCTGAAATGGCATCACAAAGCAGTACCAAGTTTTCGCTAAGCAGTTCAAGGACAAGTTGCATCATCTTTCTTCTTTCTGTATGTAAAGAAAATGAACATGCTTTCTAATGACAATTCATCAACAATAAATAAACTAACAACTCTCAAAGGGATTGACTATAAAAAGGTGAGCAAACTAACCAGTTTTGTTTGCCACAAAATTCCCACTAATGTATTACAACCAATTTATAAAACATATACTGTAACATCACCTGACAGGAAATTACTGGTTCAGCTTTGCTCCATTAAATATAATGGATTACCCTACAGTAGTTTTAAATGTATGTAAATTATTAAAGTTATTGTGTTCAAAATAAGATCGAAAACCTTCAATAATAGCCAAAATCCTTCAGCAAATTAGATTTTTGCTGGGTTACCATCATCATTGTCAAATATCCGAAAATAAAAATATTCTGAGCAGCAATATAAATAAACATCTGCAAAAAAGGATCATCTCCAAGACTTTAAATCTTAGATGTACAGATTAAGAATGAATACAAGAGTAAATTACTACAAATAAAATGCCAACTAATAATCAAACATCTAATTTAGGTTGTAAGCACTCTTTTGTCCTCTGTCATTGTCATTTTTGCAATGGGGAACAAGGCCAAAAGGCACAGATATCTATGCAGTGATGGGTTTCCTGTCCCCAATGATACTGGCTAGTATGAGGAGTAGAGGACCATTACTGAAAAGCCTCTTAAACATGTTTAAGTTGACTTGGTTAATTAACTTGACAGTAAGTTAGTAGGGGTGTTGGCAGTGTAAGCTGCCAGGCCGGAGATTTGCAGTGCCTGTGCAACCCACAGTAAAAGTTGGGGGATGGGGGGGGGTGTAAGCTGATGGGCCCAAAAATTAGAATGCCATGTCTCATTGCAACACAGATTCAAATGCTGCAGGGATCACTCTGGATGTGCTGGGTACGTCATTTGTGGTAGTGCTGGTATACATTTGAATGTTGAGGCTACCGCACACGCGTAGTAGCGACACCATATTATTACCTCCATACTGTTACTGCACATGTGCCAGGTACTGGTACTATTTTGGGCTATACCGAAAAACTCAACACTCCCCAGTGAGAGGACTTGGCATTTAGTGACAGCGCTGCCGATTTCCTCTACCTTGCAACGATCTCTGCATATACCGGCAATCAGCTGCCAGCACAGGAAGTCTCCCATCACTAATGACTTGTTTGTGTCTCCTACATGTTACACTATCTACTAAATTATCCCCAAATAATTTATTAGGAGTACTAATGTCTCCTTTACACTATGCCGTTTCATAGTGGTAAGCTATTGCATACAAGTTAAAGCGTGTTGCATTAAGGCAACCGTTTCATCAAGTCCTCTGGCTGCTTGGTGCACATTTTGTGCATTGTCAGTGGAAAGGGGGCCAAAGCGCACACTTCTGGGCAGAAAGGAACAAGGAAGCCAAACACTGAGATGGAACCCTTCCATTGCAAAAGTCTACCACCCAAATTTCTTCTTTATATCTTTTATTTTCAAGGTAAGCATTTTATTTGATATACAACACCACTAATGATTGCTCCTCCCACCTAAACTATGGAACCTTCTATATTATTTAGAATATGCAATTTCTTTATCAGGCTGAAACTAATGTGGTAAACTCCATTTTAATTCCTGTATTCTTCTTTCATAGAATAGGCTGATGTTATTGTAACACTACAAAAGAATGAGCTATATAGCAAATTACAATCATTGTAGCAAAATGCAAAATATGTACCTAGGTCTATGCCAAAGTAACATTCATTCTAGTTAGAGATTTAAATGGTCAACTCTGGGGAAATCTGAGGCAAACAAAAGATGAAACTGAATATCTGCACTTGCTGCCAGGCAGCTGCTGCAAAGGCTAACAAGATCCTGCATTGTATTAAATAGGGAATAAAAGTAACAGTGTTTAAGTCCCACGTAATCTACATCTAGAATACACAGTACTGTTTTAAGTCCCTATTCAAAAAATACACGCGTCATATCCTTAAAAAGTGATTCTAAAGTCTAAATGTTTTGTTTTTTTTACTTTCAAAGTATTTATTGATTTCAAAAGTACAACAAAAATAAAATCAGCAATACAACCAAATGTATACAAAATATAGGCCAAACTGGCTAAAACGTCCCCAGCCATACAGAACGACATCCAGGGTAATGTAGACATAATATACAGTTGAGAAGGCAGGCTACATGAGTCGAGATAGTCTAAATGTTTTTAAGCTATTTAAAATGCTGATTAAAATCACTTGCAATGAATGCTGCTCCTTTACATGTAAAAGTTTTCAGTTTTCTGCAGAATATGCTGGTTGCCTGAGCATTGGCCCTGATATCCTGCTTTAGGGTAGCTCCTTTCCCTTGCCGGGTCCTATGGAGCAAACTTTGTGTGTGCTAGTAAGCCATGTGCATCTCCACAAACACACAGGCATAGCAAGGCAAGACACTTCACCCGTCTCCTCCTTCAAGCTAGTAGACAGAGGGCTGCTGGAGAAGAGCATAGTTGGAGTAGTTTGGCGACCAGTATAAGAAATGTTTTGATGGGTTTTCACGAAGAAATGGTTAGAGGATGCCCTTTGCTGTGTCCATAGATTACTAAATATGTGCTTAAATACAAAAGTTGCTGGAAGAATCCTGAAGTAGAAGTGCAGAAAAAGGATGTTCTTCTTCCAGAGCAGAGAGATGGCATGCATCACGTAAGGACACTAGCAAATAACTGAGAAAGGCTTTGAGTGGGAGGGGTTAAACAGGGCTGTCCTTACAGCTTTGATTTGCCAGTATACAATCACCTAAAGTTGGCTTGCTTAAGCCCAATGGTTTGTGAACTCCCTGTGTCCTGTGATGTACAATCAAGAAATCACATTTAGACTAACTACGTTTTTCAGAAAAAGCTTTCTAGATATTTTCCTTCTTCCACAGTTTGGAGCATCACATGCGTACCATCAAAAAGAAGTATCAGTGAATGCTGCAATAAACAACATTTAGCATAATCAGCATGAAAATACTTTTTAGTTTAAAAGTAGATTCGCCCCAAACAAAGTGGTGATAGAGAACAGAACATGTAAACTTTAATGTGAACTGAATGCCTTTCCTATTAAATATGACTTCTCCTTTAATTAAATTGTAGTGGCCCAAGGAATATGCATTAGTAATGAATGTGTTCCGCACTGTGTTCACCAAAAGTTGATGGCTGCTTTTTAGAGATTTGTTTTGCTTATATATCAACATAATTAGAATAGAAATATATTTAACTTAACAGATTTTGTTTGCTTTTTTTCTTACTATTTATTTATGTTTTCTATATGGTACTACTATGGCCTGAATCTTTGACCCTTTTTGGCAAAAACAAAAGAAGATATTTAGGGAGGGAAAGTTGAATAAATCATCAGCACCATATTTATCAGAGGCATCAGTGGTGGAATCTCCCTTTACTCCTAAGGAGAATCCAGCAGAGGAAGAATAGCACCATAACTCAGCCTCTGGGACCATTATGACAGATTGAAATCAATCAATTGGCGGGGGCTGGAAACTTTAACAGGGGACCCCCTCATAAACAGACATAAGGTAATTCATCTGGAAACCGTACAGCCACAAAAAGTTCAAAGTTGTGTGGACTAGATTACATATCTTCATCTAAAAATAATTTTTATCATTCAAGAAAGTTAAATTGCTAAATTGAAATACAGATCATGACTTCCACAACAGGAATGTTGATGTATTTCCTACATTACAGGGCCCTATAGTGTTTGCTGTGGGATTTTATATGGTTTTAAGTCTGGGATTCTTTTTGGTGTTGGTTTTTTTTCTTTGTTGTTTTTTGTTTTCTCAATAAATTTGTACATATATTTTTTCAATACACAGTTTTTGCATAGATTTTGGTGGTGTGTTTTCATTCAAGGTCCAGAGTTGTGATTATAGGGGAAACCTTTCTTCTTTGAATGTTGATTTAACCAGGCTTTTGAAGAAAGGCCCCATCAACCACTGCTTTAAGTGTGATAATGATATTGTCTATCCTCTGAGATCTTTTATGATAATCTCTGTCCCTTGACTCTGTCTCTGACCCTATTGTGGTTGAGAGGGACCCATGTTTTCAGGCAGGAACATTCACCCACTGGGAGAAATCCATTAACCTCCTGCGAAGAACATGCAAAAATAGCAATACCATTTTAGTTACAGAATACACTGCAATGTTTCAGTGCATGACTCTTTTGTTCTAATAAAATTGCCTGTCAGGTTACTAGATAACAATAGCTGCATGCTTCATATATGTTAAGTGACTGACCTGACTTCAACAGTGGCGTTGCGCTCTCCAAAACCAACACACAGAACTGAGGGAGACCGAGTTGCTGAAACTGCAGATCCAGCGTGTCTTCATTTTCCACTTCTGGTGGGTCTGCATGACCTCTGTCTAATGGTGACAAGTGTGATGTCCGAGAATTGGCTTGAGCTTGAATGCTGTTTCCACTTAGAAAAAAACAGAAATCCAAGTCACAATAACAAATAAAACATTTAATGCCAATAATGTGACACAATAAACACCTCACACCAATTATAACTTTGCGCTAACAAAATGAAAACCTCTCAGAGTTAGCAACAATCTACAGCAATTTTGAATGCAATCACCTGCATACAAAACAAAAAAAACTTAATTTTATAGATCGGACAAATTTAATTACAAAAAGGGCAAATTCTGAAATATGCTTGGAAATGTTAGACACATAAAAATTATAGCATAAAATAGAGGGTTTTCCTTGCTGGATGCTGGAAATGATATAGGATAAGCACAGAGAAGACACAAATGACCAGTAAAACATACACAATATCATGTTGTGGGAGCTTTTTTTATTGAGAGGTGCAGCAGAACCTTGAGATGAGTGTAATTTACAAATCAACTCCTTACAGCTGTAAGAGAGCATCTTATTGTTGAAAGCAGAGAGATTAACTCTGGATAGATGAAATTGTGTAACAGCCAGTTTGCTGACCCATAAATTAGGACCTCATCTGAGACAGTCTTCTTGATGCCAATTTCATCAATACTGGAACAAAAAAAGCAAACCTTTCTAATGGCATACTTTGGAATCAATTTCAATTTTTTTCCCTGCAGATTGTATTTTCTTATAGCCAATATTTTTTTCTATTATGGCCAATACATTTACTTAGGGATATGAAAAGCACCATCACTTTACATTTTGTGTCATTATTTTGATACATTGTATATTAATATAAAGTACGTCTATACAGTGCCGACTTATTATTGAGCTCAGAAATTTTACATACATCTTGCACAGCACCCGCATCGCATCTATTCATCTGGTTAATGCATGTTAATTTCATTCCAGATTGATGTGAATTTTTATATCATTTTCTAATTTTATTTTTCTACTTAGAGTTTGTAATGACTTTTATGATGGATGCAAAAGGCCAAGCCTGAAATCTTGAGACACCAACCTAGAAGATGTAGCATCCCAATCTTGTCCATCTCCTCGAAGTCTCTGACTGCTGCGTCCCACAACTGAAGGCCGGTGATGTTCGTTTACAGGAGAAGGGTTCTGAGAATTACGAGTGGCTGGAGTGTAGTAAGATACAGAAGAATTCTGGGAAATCACTTCTGTAAAGCGTAAAAACAATATAACAAAAGTTATCTGCTTTGTAGTTAAAAAAAAAATATGTCATACAGCTAACCATACAACTAGAATATAAAAGCAAAGGCATAAACCTTACAAAACATAAGCAGTTCTGTGTAGCCTTGAGATTCAACTACCCCTATCACAATACACGGCTACAACTAATAAAGTCCTCACTTTTTTCAATTTCAGATATACAACATGCTTAAATATTTTCCACTCCAGTTCCCAGTGTCTAAAATCATGCTACACTGACATTGTCTTAGGCTGGGCACACACCTTACAACCATCGCAAGACTTGCGATGATCGCAAGCAGATCGTACTTGCGATGATCGCAAGCCATGCCCCGAGGGGCGGGCTTCCGATGACCGCAATGCCGAACGGGCAGTGTGCGCTTGCGCACACCGGCCCGTGCGGCTGTTATCGTACAGACATGCCACAAACCCGCCGAACATCGTACGATGCTCAGCGGGTTTTCAAACATGTCCGTAAGTTTAAAGTCGTGCGACTGTACAGTAGTAGAGGTCGCACGGCTTCCACACACCTTACGATCATCGTACGATCGCGGGATTTCCCGCGATTATCGTACGATAATCGTAAGGTGTGTGGGGACCCTTAGGCTGGGCACACACCTTACAACCATCGCAAGACTTTTGTACTTTTGTCTTGCGATGGTTGTAAGGTACTTAAAAAAACGTACGATCTGCCTATGTTGCATAGACAGATCGTACTTGCGATGATCGCAAGCCACGCCCCCTGAGGGGCGGGCTTCCGATGACCGCAATGCCGAACGGGCAGTGTGCGCTTGCGCACACTGGCCCGTGCGGCTGTTATCGTACGGACATGCCACAAACCCGCCGAACATCGTACGATGCTCGGCGGGTTTTCAAACATGTCCGTAAGTTTAAAGTCGTGCAACCGTACAGTAGTAGAGGTCGCACGGCTTCCACACACCTTACGATCATCGTACGATCGCGGGATTTCCCGCGATTATCGTACGATAATCGTAAGGTGTGTGGGGACCCTTAGGGTGACCATACACTTCATCTGATTGTACAATCTACCAACAGCTATGCAGTGCAAGGACTTTCCCAATTTTGATATATATTGAATGGATTGTTTAGATCCATCCTTATATTACATATTTTCGTTAGATTTAAAGGAGATTGTATAATCAGTTTGTAGAATGTATGGCCAGCATTAAGTTGAGCTGTTGGTAGAATTATAATAGGAATATAATATAAAGATATGCATTACATCAGGTTATTTATACACAGTATTATGAGCTTAAAAAGAACTCAAAATATCTTACAATGGGTCAAGTACATCCAAAACTGACATGATTAAAGAAGCAGAGCATAACTGCTAGGAATAATTAGAGAGAAATACGGTAAGAAATTGCAATTCACACCCCCTGCAGTAACAAAACTGAATTATCAGCTCTGGATGGACTGATCTTTTCAGCCACCTAAATATGTCTGTAATACATTTGATGTATCAGTCATAGTAAAGGTAACCACACACGGCTCAAATGTTGGTCTATCCCTGCCTCATTGGCTGGAATTTGAACCGTGGGTGGCCATGTCAGCACCACTCAGCTCAACCAACATTGACTGAAATTTGTTTTCGAGTTGTACAGTGACTGCACCCATTTAGTTGCAGACTGCGGGTGCCGACTGTGTGAATAGAATAGTTGGCAGAGGTGATTCCTCCATCCATGATGTTTAGCATGGATGGAGAAAGCTATGCATGTATGACAAGCCTGTTTGCCATATTTAACTTTTTTTCCAATAGATCCTCTATCTGCCCTAGGTCACATTTGATAATAGTAGTGCATGTGGATGTTGCAATTGTTGATAAGACAGCAGGTTGCTTTTATATGACATGCAGAAATTCAGCAGGTACCTTCTAGATCTAGAACATGGAAGGAATTTCTAATTAAAGCTCAACTCCAGCCAAACATTCTCTTTTGTTTTACATAGACCAAGAAGGGTTTAAAGGAGAACTATGGGGTTAAGTCTTTTCCCCATAGTTCTCCTTAGGGTAACGGGAGGACACAAACTAGCGCCCTCCCGTCACCCTAGGCTCAGTATACCGCGAGACGCCGCAGCTGAAGCGGATCCCGACAATTGTGCATGACTGACAGCTGGCTCTGCCTAGCTGGAGGCAGAGCCAGCTGTACCCGTCCGTTCCGCCAGTCAGCGCTGGCGGATCGGAGCGGGAGGGGGGAATCCAGCCCCTCGACTGTCACGGCAGAGGGCTGTGACAGGATGGAGAGGTGAGCGAACGCCGTATGTGTTCGCTCACCTCCCGATCTACTGAGCTGACCTGTGACAGTCTCATTGTCACAGGTCGGCTAGAACTATGAGGTGAGTGAAAAGCACTCACCTCATAGTTCTCCTTTAAACCTCTGATGGGATTCTATCATTGTCCCTGTCCCTATATGGAGGATTTTTATTTTTAAAAAATTCACTACGGTCTGTACCTTCCTCTCCTGTTGACAACTGCACTCCATATTTTGTCTACTGGTATTACAGAGACAGGGAGAAAGGAAAAATCTCCCTAGTAGAGTGACAACCAGGAATAAATGCCTAGGAAAAATAAAACAAAAAAACCTCTATACCCTATATATAATTTTATCAAATTGAAGTTTAAGTGTTTGTGGTACCTGAAAAGTCCCAGTCTACTGGCATTCTAGTTAACAAATCTTCCTTATGTTACCGTACTCCATGCAATTGAATAAATTGTAATTTTGTGACACCAGCCCACACCCATTTTGATATGTGGGCTGGAGTGAACAATCACTGACTGCTAGTCTCACTACAACTGAAGTGAGGTTGGCTGATGTCACTACTGTGCTGATCACAGTTCTCCTTGCCGTAGAGGAAGCTGCAGTGGAAACATCTCCCTTCTTCATTCATTCAGTGGACCTGTGATCTCTGCACCTCTTCTGCTGCTGCTACTTGATTGTACCTTCATCAGTCATCAGACCACTTATCATGAGGGAGCAAAGTCCTGCCTAACAAAATCAGCAGCCAAATCAAATGCAGACAAGCTCTATGCATTCTCACATACTAGACAAAACAGTATCCATTTTAAGCCTTCACAGTCCTAATTCATGTACTTCCATAGTAAGCCCCGATGAAGGGGGTATTTGAATGAGCCCCCAAAACGCATCTGCTATTTTTAGATTGTCCGCTCAACCCTACATTGAATAAAGATGTATCAGGACTTTTAAATCTCTACCAGAATGGTTAACTTCACACAGGCACAGCAAGTCAGTACTAGGGAAAAGATCAGCTGCAGGGAGACCACAAGCAATGCTGGTGACTAGGGCCTTTACCCTACGTCTGCTTTTTTTTAGGTGGGGGTCACAGCTTCTACAGTTCAGATCCTCTTTAAATTTATAGTTAAAGAAGAACTCCATGCAGAAATTGTATTAACCCTTGCCGTGAGGCTACACCCCCCCCCCCCCCAACCCCCAGCGCATCATG